TGTTAGCCTGCTCTGTGGAGTCTGTGCAGTTGGAGGTTACAAGAGAATCTGCCAGGAGGCTCTTGACAAAAAATGTCCTTGGCCCCGCCCCCCATCAAGACAGATAGGGATCGGCTAGAATCCTTTCCCACTCAGAGCAACCCTGTGGGACAGATTCGAACTGCCCTAGAGGGTTTCTGAGATTGAACATTTTTATGGAAACTGCCTCATAGGTTTGTTCTCCCATGAAGGTACTAGTGGGTTCAAACCACCAATGTTTCAGTTAGCAGCCAAGTGCTTAACCACTGTGCTACCAGGGTGCTATAGTTGTTATCAAATGCCATTGAGTTTCTGAGGAAGTGCTGGTGGGTTTCAATCACCGGCCTTGTGGTTCAAATTGACCTTGGAGTCCAGTGCTTATCCTTCAGAGCCACATCAGGACTCCAGGGCACTATTGTGATCCCCAAAGTGCCTGTGTGGAGATGCCTGGAGGTGGGCGCCTGTGGGTGGGCAGCCCTGGAGAAGTACCTGAGACTTAGGGAAGTTTTGACTCATGCAGGAAGGCCCTAGGGAGCGGGGACGGCGACATCAGGGCCGGGAGGTTGACCTCAGAGTTCAGACACACGGTCTTTCTGCACCTGGGACAGACAAAAGGCTAAAGAACTCAGGTGTAGGGTGGTTCCTGGAGTAATTAGATGCAGATGCGGTTCTCAGCGGAACCTTCCAGGGCTGGGAGCCTCTGGGTTTGGGGAAGGGAAAGAGAAAGATCTGGCTCCAGAAGAAATGGGGTAGTGTGTGGGAGACAGCCACATTGCCCTGGGGGTGGAGGTGGAGAAGGGGCTCCTGGGAAGCTGAGGGAGCCTCCTGGCCTTGAGACAAGGTCTGTTTGCACAGAGGTTTGTACTATTTTCCATTTCTGCCTACGGTGACGTTTTCTTAGCCCTCTAAGCCTGGATCTCAGCTGTGAAATGGGGACATGTGAGAATTATTACCAGATCCCCAAGGCTTTACCTACACATTGTAGTGTGGAAGCCAGGGGACCTGGGTTCTGACTGGGTTTCTCTTCCCGTGGGTACCATTCCAGGTGCAAGAGGGAACTCTGGATAACTCTTGATTTCTTGGTCTTTGGGCCACACTTTCCCTTTTGGAAAGATCAAGATGAAATAAACAATAGGATTGGAGCTAATAGTCTTCCACCTTATCCCCACCTGGCTAAGCTCCAGTTTTTCCAGCCCACCTGACCCTTCCACCCCTTCTGGTCTCCTAGGGGGAACTTTGCCCTTCCCTGAGCTGGTGGAGGGCGTGGTCTGCGGCCTGGCCTCAGTTTCCTGAGTTTGGTACCCCTCCCCCTGCCTTTCCGGGTGAGGCTGATGGGGGTGGAGATTCTAGTCTACTAATAAAGTGCCATTGAGATGGTAACTAAACCGAGGGGGCCACCCCTCCAAATCAATGGCATTCCAACCCCCTCCCAGTCCCTACTGCCACCCCAACTTTAACCCTTTGGATCCCAGGGTACAGTTGGGCCTTGGAGACCTCCTACTTGAAGTCTTAAGTCTGCCCCCTGGGGAGCTAACGGAGGATGGGGTTGTTCCACCAGAGTCCCTCTTCCAACCACCTTTTTCCGGTCCCTCCACCCGAACTCTGATATTTACTCTCCCCTTACCCAGCTCTGGGCCTTTTGGGGAGGAGGAGCTTTGTCTTATAAGACTGGGAAGAGGAGGAGAGATTTAGGAAAGGTAGGAGCTTGGGGGCAAATCCAAAAGGGCTGGTGATAGGAGGGTGACCTCGCTCTGAGCACTGACCTCCACATGACCAGTCCGTGACAGGGTGAGGGCTCTTGGCTGGAGTGTTGTATGGGTGTTGGGGTCTGAAATCCGGTGGGGGAGGAGGACCCATTTGTGTATCACCCACCCTGGCCCCTATCCAAGGGTTTAGTGCTGCATTGCAGAACTGGTCTGCCACTTCGGCACAGCCAGACATTGATGACCAGCTGCCCTGGACTCAGGGCTCAGAACCTTCAGGGCCAAGAGTGGGATCGGCCCCAGTAAAACTAGGACGAGTTAGAGTTGGTCACTTTGGGCACTAGGCAAGAGGGGGGCTCCTCTAGACTAGGGGTGGAGAAGGCCCTGGGGAGGCTGAGGGCAGGTCTGTGGGCCCCTCAGAGACCCAGGCTGCCTGACACCTGCCCAAACCTGTGTGGCTGGATTCCTGGAGTCCCTGGGGAAGGCTGTGCAGGGAGCCCAAAGACAGGCTTGCCTCTATTTGCCCTTCTCAATCTCCCCACCCCTAAACCCTGAAATTTGAGGCTCTGGGGGCTAAGGAGCTGGACAAACACGCTCAGGAGCAACTACCTGGGGCTCTGGCTGTCCCCCGCCCCCTCCTGAAGGAAAGGAGCAGATGACCAGAGGAGGGGCTGAGGAAGGATGGCGCCAGATGACCAATTGTTTGGCTTGAAACAGGCCTCACTTTCCCCTTTTTAGAGGCGGAGGACTCCCAACCTTTCTGGGATCCTAGACCCCTTTGGAAATTTGATGGAAACCATAAACTTCACTTCCAAACACTGCTAAAACCCCACACCTGGTTTGCACCCTGAACTGGTCCCTGAAGTCAGAATCTTTTCTGACTTTAGTGAACAGGGGGACTGGACCCAGCATCCATAGGAAGGGGTGTGTTCTAGGACTCCCAGTCCTGCCTGGTGCTCAGGACCAACTTAGCCTCTCAACCAGTCACACAGGAACAATAGAAGAGTAAGCTTTCACTCCGGAAGCTTTACTGCAAAGTGAAAGTACACTTCAAAGGTGAGAAGTGGGTCTTTCTCCGAGGATGGAGAGTAGCGCAGACCTGGTGGAATTGGGGAGCCTGGATTGTCAAAGCAAAAGTACACTTCAGAGAGAGAAGTGGGTCTTTCTCTGTGAGCAGAGAAGACCCAGTGGAATTGAGGGTTTGGGGTCTCCTCTACCAAGAGTGGGCTAGTACATATTGATTAGGAGGAGTGGGAGGCTGACCATTAATTTTCTTAGTAAAGGGGTGTAGGCTTTTGGGAAATGGAGTGGCTTTTGCAGTTGTAAGCTCTGTTGTTGTTAGATGCCATGAAGCTGGTTCCAACCTATAGTGACCCTGTATAGGGTTACCAAGGAGTGGCAGGTGAGTTTGAACCGCCGACTCTGCAGTCCAGCACATTAACCCACAACCCACAGTGCCACACCAGGACTCCACACCAACTCTAGGTGCAACTTTATGGGCTGTCTGCCAAGTTCTTCCTCTTTGCGACCAGTTGCTTTTCTCTACGGGGATTTCCTTCTGTCTTCAGTCTGTCCTCTCAATGTTGCTATTCCTGTTGAACTAGAGATATCTTCCCGGTCTAGTAGGAGAGGACTTGGGGCAAAGGGGCAGAAATGAAGAGGCCTATGAGTGTCTCTTTCAGCTGAGGGCCCCCTTTGGGATGCCCCAAATCACCCCCTTGGAAAGTGAGTGGAAGGGATTCTCACTGTGCTCTCCCTTTTCAGATAATAATATCAGGGTGGGTCAAAAAGTTCCTGGAAAATGGAATGAAAAGACAATGAGCAGAATTTTTCCACGAACGTTTTGAAGGCTCTCCTATGCAAGGGTTCTTCTCACTCAGGAAGGGGCTGGAGAGAGTTCATAAAGCACCCCCTTTACACCAAAATGGAAGGGCTCATATTTGTGGGGTTAGGCTCTGAGTTCCCATGAGATTTCTTAAAAGGATCTTTGACCCGAGGAGGTTAAGAACCTTGACCTTTCATGATCTGACCCAGGAGGGACCCAGTTTGAGTCAAGATATGGGTGACTTAGCCTACAGCCCCATGGTCTGAGAGGGGGTGAGTCATGAGCTCCTCCGGGGTCTTCAGGAGGAGAAGTTTTTCCTGCAGACTGGGGATGGGGGGACCTGGTCCTCACCCCCACTTGCTCAGCTCTATGGTGACTCAGACAACAAAGGCTTCTGACCACTCACTCCCCAGCTGGGCACTGGGGCTGCACCTCCAACTGGGCTCCTGCCTCCTTCCCCCCATGTCCCAGCTGCCACACTCCCCACCCCCATATTCACAACAGGCTCTTTTATCCCTGGCCAGTGGGGACTTTCAGTCAGCTCAGCCCCCCCACCTCCAGTTTCAGCAATGGGGGAGGGGAGGGCACACCTGAGCTGAGGTACTGTGTGTGTGTGTGTGTGTGTGTGTTGGGGGGGTAGTTTCTAGGCTGTTGCCTGGGCAATGCCACATGAGCTGGGCGCCAAGCACCTGTTGCCGGGGGAACGGGGCGGGCGGGGCCCCTCCCTTGGGAGCCGCCAGAGCCACTGGGCTGACACAGGAGACAGATCAGATTCCAGAGAGTCCCGGTGGGGACGTGGAGGTGTGTGTGATACTGGGGGGCTGCAGGCATGTGCATCATGAAATGAGGGGAGAGCAAACATGGCAGGGAGGGGCAGCTGGGGAAGAGAAACCGGTCCTCCCCAATTATTTCTGCCCCTCCCCATCACGGTGCCCATTGTCTGGGGGTTGGCTTTCTTATGCCTTTGTTACTGCACACAGAAGTTCTGTCCTGCTCTGTCCCAGTCACTGTGCTCCCCACAATTGGTCCCCAGGCACCACCACCCCCTCCATCCGTGGCACCTGGGCTCCACCTCCTCCCAGGTCTTCTCCTTGTCCCTGCTCCTCCCCTATCTCAGCCTTAAAACCCCGCCTGCCAGCAAGAGAGGCAGAGTCTCCAGGTACAGCGCTCAGTGTGGAAGTAACCCAGGTGGGTCAGGGCCTGTGCAAGCCGGGTGGGATAGACAACCGCTGGGACATCATCACATTATCATCGGCAGATGTGCATCTGCATCTGATACTGACAGTTCTTCGTGGGGAAACAAGCCACAGGATTGAGGAGAACAGGAGCTTGGTTGGTGTTCATTGAAGGGTCTGAAGTACTGGTGAGAGGAGAGATCCACGGCTGTGAGGACTGTTCAGTCCAGAGGGCACCTCACTCATCAATTGTCTGAATTAACCAGACCACTGGACAACTGCTGGGGCAGATGGCTTCCACTGGTCTTGAACTACTGGGCATGACCCTGGCTGTGCTGGGCTGGCTAGGCACACTAGTGTCGTGTGCCCTACCCCTGTGGAAAGTGACCGCCTTCATCGGCAACAGCATCGTGGTGGCCCAGGTAGTATGGGAGGGGCTGTGGATGTCCTGTGTGGTGCAGAGCACGGGACAGATGCAGTGCAAGGTGTATGACTCGCTGCTGGCCCTGCCCCAGGACCTGCAGGCCGCCCGTGCCCTCTGCATTGTCGCACTCCTACTGGCCCTGCTTGGCCTGCTGGTAGCCATTATGGGCGCCCAGTGTACCACGTGTGTGGACGACGAGGGTGCCAAAGCCCGCATCGTGCTTACGGCAGGTGCCATTCTCCTCCTGTCTGGGGTCCTGGTGCTCATCCCAGTCTGCTGGACAGCACACGCCATCATCCAGGACTTCTACAACCCTCTGGTTGCTGAGGCTCTCAAGCGGGAGCTGGGCGCCTCCCTCTACCTGGGCTGGGCTGCGGCCGCCCTGCTGATGCTGGGTGGGGGGCTTCTCTGCTGTACATGCCCTCCACCCCAGGTCGACCGGCCCCGTGGACCCAGGCTGGGCTATTCCATCCCCTCCCGTTCAGGCGCATCTGGACTGGACAAGAGGGACTATGTGTGAGGCCATGGGCATCACTAGGCCTGCCAGCTTCTGGCCATTGTCTGCCTATTTGCCCACCTGGAGCTTTCAGCCCTGTCTGGACACATCACTCCAGCCTTCTGGACTCCAGCATTCACCCCTTCATCTTCCTGAAGACTGGCTGAGTCCAGACTCATCGGGTTGGGCCAGAGCTGATGGGGTGACCTTTGTGTGAAGAGACAGACCTTTCCCTTCCTTAGCTCTTCGAGCTCCCTTGATCTCTCTGCTCTGAAGAGCTGGGCCCTGGTGTCACCAGAGACCCAGCCAAGATCACCCCACCCTCCACCCCCACCTGAGTCAGGAATAAAGAAAGCATTTGTTACCAGCCTGGCCCCTTCTGATCTCTGTACTGAGCTCTGGGCAGGGACAGTCAAATGGTTGCCCCTGGAAGCTGTGGCTGGCCCATGCAGACTCTGGGGAGTCTGGGCTAAGGGGCTGCATGGTGCAACAAAGAATGAATGCCCCCCTCTCCTTTCCCTCCCCACCACCCTCCAGCCACACCAAAGACACATTAACAAAACACACTTTACTTAGTAAAAATGTGAACACAGGGCAGGCATAGGCAGAAGTGTGTGGAGGGTAGGAAGTGTGAGTTGGGGTCTACAGCACAGCTAGGACTTGGGAAGGGACGTGGTAGCAGACACAGGTCAGAAACCTTGGAAATGGGGTGGGTATCTTTGGTAACTTCTGTTGCTCTTCTAGAAGTGGACTTAAAAGCCTGTGGGGGGCAGGTCCAGAGGCATGAAGAGATGGGGTGTCCTTGCAAGCTCAAGAGGTTCCTTCACAGCATTGGCAGCTCTCCACACTGGGTCCCCAGCTCCTGGTTTGCGAGTACAGCATGGCACAGGACACCACCATCTCTGGCTGTTTCATCCAAAGGTGAGAAAGACAGACCAGCAGCAGAGACCAGGGTGGGCGAGGCAGCTGTGATTGGTATCCAAGTGGATCACAAAAATGCCCCCAAAACATAAAACACAAGATCAAACCTACCCCCAGAGCGGCCAAGTATCATTGCCTGTGGGTTGGTTCCAGTTCCAAGTGGGAAGAGGGGGAGGCAGGGGGAGGCTCTGTGGGTAAGGAGTTGCTACTCCCCTACTCCCATCAGACATAATTCTTGGTGGGGTACTCAGAGGGCCCCCGAGAGGTGCTCTGTGGGGCAGATGCTGAATAACGGGCCATGTAATGGTTGGAGGCCCGTGACCTCCCAGAGGGGCATGTGCAGCACAGCAGCCCCCCGCCCAAGAACAAAAGACCTGAGGCAGCCCAGCCCAGGTAGAGGGAGGCCCCCAACTCCCTCTTTTGAGCCTCGAGTACCAGGGGGTTGTAGAAGTCACGGATGATGGTGTTGGCTGTCCAGCAGATAGGGATCAGGGTCAGGACCCCAGAGATGATGAAGATGATGCCGGAGGTGAGTACCAGGCGAGCCTTGAAGTCCTTGTCTTCCACACAGGTAGTACACTTGGCCCCCGCGAGGTACACCAGCAGGCCAATTAGGGCCAGCAGCAGCGCGACAACGCAGAGGGCACGGGCGGCCTGCAGGTCCTGGGGCAGGGCCAGCAGCGAGTCGTACACCTTGCACTGCATCTGTCCCGTGCTCTGCACCACACAGGACATCCACAGCCCCTCCCACATCACCTGGGCCACCATGATGGTGCTGCCGATGAAGGCGGTCACCTTCCACATGGGCAGGGCACAGGAGACCAGGGCATTGATCCAGCCAAGGGTTGTCAGGATGATTCCCAGGATCTGAAGACCAGCAGAAGCCATGGTGAGGTCCAGAAGCTGCAGGAGTGAGCCCAAAAGCAAAAGTGAGCCCACCTTATTCTCACTAACACCATGCCGTGAGCCTTGGCCACCAGGTAGGAAGTACAAGAGCCCAGACATCGAGAACTTCGGGTCACACGGGCAAAACGTTGATCATGCTTTAATTTATCATCAGCAACTGGCTACTGAGCATTCTTTTTTCTCCCTAGTTTAGTGACAGGCACGGGCTTACAATAGTCATGAAACAAGCGATCCTGTTCTGCCTGCCTCTGAACACAAATGAAAGAAACCGAGCAAATTAACAAAAATAGGCTGGTCCATCTCAACTACGGTTATCAAGCAGGTGAGTGGGTGACAAAAGGGGGTGTCAAGAGCAGCACCACCAGGTGCTTTATGGGGGTACAGAGAGCCATGAGCTTCTGACTCAACACCTGTCAGTTTCAACTTCTAAGATTCAAACCCCTGGTTATCAGTGACTTGTCTTCCCTGAGCCTGACCCACCCTCCTCAATAAGGTGGTCAGCCTGCCCAGTCCCATCATTCCAGAGAGGTTAAAGCAAAAAACAACCCCTCCTCTCCAACCCTGCAAAATCACGAGCCCTTTCCTGGGGCCATCTTGATCCCTTAGCCCTGCCCTTCTCAGAGAGCAGCCCCAAGGAATCGGTCATTTTCTTGTGCATCCCTTCCTGAAAATGTCAGACGACGGTTGTCTGGGGACAACTTTCCTGAAAGAAGTCAGTCTCCCTCTCTGCCGCACCTGGCTCCCAACTATCTAAGCACGTAGCACCTGTCTCCTCCATATATCCTAAAGGATCAGCTTGGTTTTCAGCTCAAGGGTCCAATGGTCTTCCCCCACCGCTAGGACCTAAACTTGGGCCGGACGGCGGGAAGGCAGGCTCTGGACTCGCCTCTCCAAAGCTGCCCCACCCCAGACCGCGCTCAGGCTTAGGGGAAGGTGGTCGGGTGGGGCCGCGCCATCTCAGCCCCAGGTTAGGGCCGGCCCAGCCACCCATGAATGTTCTGTGCTCTTCCTACACCCTCCAGGTTCGGCCTCGAAGGAGGGTGCCCCAAGAGGGGGATGAGCGTCCCAAAGGCAGGACCCCGTCCCCGAGAGGCAATGCAGGTGGGGGAAGGGCTCCCGGGGTATCGTAGCCTTTGTCCTGGGGGAGGGGGAGGGGTGTTTAACCCTTCCGGAGCGGCCAAAAGACCCAACCTGCTCAGCGGCTTCAGCGCAGCTTCCCCACCCAGCGTTTTGCCGCAAGGAGCGCGGCCCAATTTGTCCACAAGCTCTCCCACCCACGCCGCCGCGACCCCGGCACACGGGCCGCTTTGTACGTCTCCCACCCTTCCTCCTCTCCTCGCCCCTCGCAGGTTACCCCGGCTCACCTGCAGAGACTGACTGAGAGATTCGTGGGAGGCGGCAGAATGTCCGATAGGACGGAAGGGGGGGGTATCTTAAAGCCGTCATGACGTCACTTGCCCCCCGCCCCTGGGGAGGGGCAGAGACCCCGGCCCGGATGGCGCCGGGCGCGCGAATCCCTGCCTGGTCAGAAGGGGGCGCTCGGCTAACCTAGACTTGTTAGTGCCGTCGTGTCGGTTCCGGTTCATAGGGTTTCCAAGGAGCCGATGGTGAGCTTGAACCGACGACCTTGAGCATCAACTCACAGCGCCATACTAGGGCTTAGCCCGAATCCTAACTCCTTATTCCTTCACGCCCCCAAAAGAAAATGCTAGATTGTATGGAAAGTATGTATTCAATCTCATCTATGTATGTGCAAGGGAGTAGGAGAGGCTCTCATATTTTCTGAATCAGAGCTGGGCCGAGCTGTGTAAGGAAGATTGTGGTGTTAAGTGCCCTTCAGTTTCCTAGGAGCGGCTGGTGGGTTTGAACCGCCGACCTTGTGATTAGCAAATCCAGTGCTAATCCTACAGCTCCACACCAAGAAACCTAAGAAAGATTACTATTGTATTTTATGAATTTACATCTATGAAATGACTCGCTAAGTATTAAAATTCAATCTCATTCCCGTGTATATTTATTAAATTCTTGTTACTGAAAAGAAATGACCTTTTAAGTGAAAGGAAACCCTGAAAAAAAAAAAAAAAAGACTTAGAATCTCAGCAGATGGGGCGTTGCTTGCGGCCGGCCCTCTTCCCCCGACTGGTGACGTCCGGCACTCGGTGGATGAGGATGCAGGACGTGGCGCCAAATGAAGTCTTGGCACCGCCGCTTCCCAACGCTGTGACCTCGGAAATATACCTAGCCATCCTTAGCCTCGGTTTCCTACCCTACAAAGTGCAGAAAACAAGCCTGCGCTTTAATCTTCACGGCGTTAAGGTTCAGTTAAGCCCTCCAGGGGAATTAGGAATTACTTTTGTTATGTTAACTCCCCAGGGACCCTCAAGAAAGTTGCCACCGTCTCTTCCACGAGCTGTTCCGAGTCTCTGAGCCCCTCCCCCCGAGACCTCGGACAGAGACACAGTGAGGGGCATGCTCAGATCTGTGTCCCGGTAGGGTCCTGGGTGAGGAGCCGGAGTTTGTTGAGCAAATGATCAACCGTCGCTGGCCGGCGGGGCGTGGCGCCGGCAGCCGCGCGGGTCGGGTCCGGAGGCGGCTCCGCCCCGGAAGGCGGGGGCGAGGAGAGGACTAGCTGCCCTGAGCGGCTCGCGGGCGACAGGAGCAGACGGCAGTGGCCGCGAGACGCAAGCAGCATGGCTCTGGGCTCGCTGCGCCAGCTTCTGCGGCTCCTCGTGTTGGGACTGGGACTGGTGCTGCTGCGCGCGGCGGCCGGGGAGCGCGCGCCAGGTACGCGGGGACAGAACGCGGCGGGAAGGTGTGGGCCAGTCGGGGCCAGTCGACCGGGAGAACCCGGGGTTCGGAGGGGAACGCCGAGTCTAGCGACTTGGGGAAACCAGGCTGAATCGATAGGACCGAGCGGACGTGGGGGTTCTGGGGCCAGATTGTTTCCAGACATCGCGTTCCTTGACTGGGGAGATCCAAGTTCAAGCCTCAGGTTTCCTTTCCTGTACTCTAAGGGGTCACGCCCCCACCCTGTTCCGTACGGTGTCTGGTCTGTCTAGCCTCAGTGACCGAAGATTGGGCATGTGGAGAGGCACGGGGGCAAAGACCCCCGTGCCATGTGGGGTGCCTTTCCGTCTGGTGACTTCAGTGCCCAGCTATGCGGGGGGAGGGGCTGGGGTCGGGCCCGGTGCCCAGGAGTGAGTCACCCGCTATCGGCGGGGGGAGGTAGGTTGTGGGGACCTGAGTCCCCCCCAACGGCCCCGCGCTGCTCCCCCCCATTCCCGCTGCCGTGTCCCCGTCTGGCCGTGCTGTCACCTGTGAGGAATGTGGGGGAGGGTGCCGGTGACTCACGTCATTTGATCCGGCCGACCCTGACCTCAGCCCCCAGAATAGCCGTGCCCCGCCCCAGCCTTTGACCCTCAGCCCCCTCCCCAGGCTCCACCCCCTGCTCCCATGGCACCTCCTGGAGCTCGGACCTCGACAAGTGTATGGACTGCGCGACGTGCTTAGCAAGGCCGCAAAGCGACTTCTGCCTGAGCTGTGAGTGGGGGCAGTGTCCGAGTTGGTAGACTCTGGATCTCGAACAAGGGGTCTGGAGTGGAGAGGGGACAGTGGAGGGTGGTAAAACTAATCCCGAGGAAGCTGGAATGGGGAGAAGGGGCTCTGATCAGCGGCGTCAACTGACTTCACATCCCACCCCCAGGTGCTACGGCTCCCCCAGCCCCCTTCCCGCTGCTCTGGCCCATCCTGGGGGGCGCTCTGACCCTGGCCCTCCTGCTGGTGCTGGTCTTCAGCTTCCTGGTCTGGAGACGATGCCGCAGGAGAGAGAAATTTACCAGTAAGTGTGCCCCAGTGCCCCTGCCCACACCCTCCTCCTCAGTTTCCCCATCTGACAATGATCCTGCTTTTCTTGCAGCCCCCATCGAGGAGACAGGTGGGGAGGGCTGCCCAGGGGTGGCGCTGATCCAGTGACAATGCCTCCTACCAGCCTGCAATGCCATTTGTCATTCATTCATTCTGGAGCCAGCGCCTGCTTACCAGAGGAAGCCTGTGCCACCCTCTGGAAGGGGTGGTATGGTGAATCACCTCTGAGGCCTGAGGTTTTGAGGAGCTTTCCAAGACACCTCTGATTGCCTGGTCTCAGGCTTCTGGACAGAAAAGGATCTCTATCCGGCTTACACATGTCCGTAGACACTGAGGAACTGCAGTATTTGCACAAGGGGGTCTCCCCCCACCATGTCCTGGGGTGCCGACCGACTTGAGGAGCAAACACACTACTAGGCCCCACCCACTCAGATGTACTGAGACTGCCACAGGGGGTCTGACCTAGGGGGTGGGGACCTGGTCTGAACACTAGGGGCTGGTCCTCTAGGGGAGGGGACAGCTCTGGAACACTGCCTCCACTAGCCCCCAAAGTTGGGGAGATATTTATTTTGGGGAAAAGGTTTGAAAGGGAGTGAGAATTTATTAATAATAATAATAAAAAAAAACCCTCTTTAAATGGCTTGGAGCATACACTGTCCCAGCCCAGACTTTCCCGGGCCGGCGGGGAGGGAATGAGTCAGCCAGCCGCGGGGGCGGGGGCGGGGCTCTGACTCACACATTCTCAATGCCTGAGCCCAGCTTGCCAGGGCCTGGCCTGGTCCTGACCGTTTTTCCACAGATCTAGAGAGAGAAGCCCTACATCCGGCAACCCACATCTCATGGGCCCCCTGAAAAGGTCCAACTTAATTAAGCCTTCATTTGTTAGCAGTGTTTATTCAAAGCTCCCTCCCCAACCTCCAATTCTCTGGTCCAAGACTCTGTCCTCCCTCGGTGGCCTCCTAGGTGGAAGGTCCTGGTGCCAGAGGCCTGGTCTGAAAGTGGAGAAGCCGGTAGCTGGTCCCTTTGTAGGATGCCAGTCCCCCACTGTGCAGGGGGGTGGATTTAGGCAGGTGGGCGTGGCATCACCCCAAACACTCAGAGCTCCATCAGGTCCCCAGCTGGGGTAACAGGGTAATAGGGGCTAGGGGTGTCGCCCAGCCTCAGCAGCCTGAGGGCCTCAGGGATCAGGTTTCCAGGATAACGCCACAGAAGCAGCTCAGAGCAAGGGCTTCTAGAAGAAGAATCCACAGTCAGGGCAGGGGGCAAGGCTGGACAGGCTGAGCCCTCCCTCCCAGCTCCAGGTCCGTCTCCCGCATACACTCTCCAAGGAGCCCAGATGGGAAACTAACCAGAGGTCGGCTGGAGGCTAAAATTAGCAGGATGAGGCAGGGCCTTGGAGGTTGGGCTCCGACCAGTGTGATCCTGCCCCGGGTTGGCCCAAAGAAGGTGCCTACCTGAGTGGAGGCAGGGCTGGGGGTAAAGTCCTGGGGGGGCTGCAATAAGGGTGGTCGTTGTGCAGGCTGAGTCGAGAGAAGTGGGTGGCCATGTTCTCCTCGGACAGGAACTGCTTGCGCAAGGGCTCCCTGGGGAGAGGAGCAGGCTGGTTTGGAATACAGAGTGGGCAGGGAGCAAGATGGGGGTCAGAGGTGGTCGAGGTCTATTTGGGAGTTCCTCCCTGCCCCAGACTCACTGCTCCTCCTCCAGGCGCCGCTTGGTGCTCATGGGCACAGCTCGGAGAAGGGAACTGGGAAGAGATAAGAACCAGGTGCACCCCACCCTACTGGCCCGATGTCAAGGATGCAACCCCAGCCAGCAGCCCCCATCCCTGTCCTATCTTAGCCCACACAAGTCACCTCCCCTCGTCCGGGACATTCAGCTGCCTACTTCGGTCATAGCGGTCCTGAGTCCCCAGTCCCATCCTACCTAGCCTCGGCTTGGGCCAATACTGGCTCATCCAAAGCGGGTCATCTTTCCCTGAGCCCCTTGGTTAGGCCTATCTCAGGGCCCTACACGCACCTCGCATCCAGACTCCGGGTCGCCCCGGAGGCAGCCCGGGGGTCGCGCTGGGCCCGACCCGAGGGGTCACGATCTAAGGGTTGCGGCAGAATCATTAGGGCTAGGGGTCCTTTGGTCACAGGGGCGGGATCCGGGAGTCAGGGGCGGAGCCTCAGAAGGCGTGGCACACGACAGGAGGCGTGGTTTTGGGCGCGCGCAGCAGCGGGGTTAAGCGCAGGCGCAGAAGACGGGCGGCGTACGGCTGGAAGGCGGGTCTGATAGGCGAGGTGGGGGAGGGGATCCTGCGTAGTGGGGCTGCAGTGGGAGCCACGCAATGTCTAGGAGTCTTCAAGGTGCTCACCTCGGTTCGTAGGGCTCCGGGAGGTAGACGGCCACCACCTTCGCACCGGGCCGACGGCAGTTTGGGTCGTGGAACGCCGCGGAGGAGCAGTTCACTGGCACGTCCGGACTTGTGAGGCCACGTCGCGCGAAGCACTCTGGGACTTATAGTCTTTGCTATGGAGCGAACGGTGCCGCACGCGGTGCCGCTGGGTCAGGTGAGGGGGACCTGGGGCGCGGGGTCTTCTGGGATTTGTATTCCAGGCTCGGCTAGACGGGACGGATTAGGAATCTTGTCTCCGAGCCCCGTTGCGTGTGAGTTGTTTGTGGGAATCGAACTTCGGACTGGGGGGCGAAGTAACCCAGAAGTCAGCACGTTTTTCAGTGTGGGGGGCGAGAGAACCACGGTTTAGGCACTCTACGTGGCAGATCCTCTGCGAAGTGTGGTGCTGTGGGATCAGCCCTGGACTACAAACCATAAGGTCGGCAGTTCAAATCCACCAGCTGCTCCTTGGAAACCTTATACAGGGTCGCTCTGGTAGGTAGTGGTTATGAATCGGGCTGCGAACCGCAAGGTCAGCAGTTCGAAACTACCAGCTGTTCCGCGGGAGAAAGATGAGGCTTTCTGCTCCCTTAAAGATCTACAGCCTCGGAAACCCTGTACAGGGGCGCTATGAGTTGGAAGCGACTCCATGGCACATATCAACAACAACATGAGAACATGGAGCCCTGGTGTGGTGATATATGATAGGCACTCTACCTTAAGGTCGGTTTGAACTGCAAAGTCGGTGGTTCAAACTCACCAGCCCCTCCTTGGAAAACCTATACAGAATCACCCATGCTTAACAGTAATTGTGACAAAACCCACCGTGGCTCTAGGGCCCCAAGGCTGCACAATTGAACTCTTCCTTGGCGTCTCCTAGGGCACTGGGCAGGTGTCCCCAGGTGGCCTGAGAAATCTGGGCTGGGAGTCTGCACACCCTCACCCTGCGTTTCCCGCAGGTGGAGGTATTTCAGGCCCTAGAGAGGCTGCACATGACGGTCTTTTCCCAGAGCGTGTCCCCCTGTGGGAAGTTCCTGGCGGCTGGCAACAATTATGGGCAGATTGCCATCTTCAGGTACTTGAGACCCCCCTGCTGCCCAGCACCCACTTGTCCTGGCAGTGGGCCTCCTGAACCCCCTCCTCTTTCTCCTTCAGTTTATCTGCTGCCTTAAGCTCTGAGGCTAAAGAAGAAAGTAAGAAGCCCGTGGTGACCTTCCAAGGTGGGTTCAGCTGTTGGATCTGGCCTTGGGGACCCCAGGGTGGAAGAAGGGACAGAATGGGGTCCCTCAGGTTCTGCCTTTCCCTTCAGCTCATGATGGGCCTGTCTACAGCATGGTGTCCACTGACCGACAGCTGCTCAGTGCTGGGGACGGAGAGGTGAAGGCCTGGCTGTGGGCTGAGATCCTCAAGAAGGTAAGGAGTGTGGGACTGGGGGAAGGGCCGGGGGTCCAGGCCCAGGGAGGGCCTCTGAGGTCACTTGGCCTTTTCCCCAACCAAGGGCAGCAAGGAGCTGTGGCGTCGTCAGCCTCCATACAGGTGAGCCAGGGCCAGGTGGGTGGGGGCACCTGGGCATAAGGCACTCTGGAACCCAAACTGACTTTGTGCTTCTTCCTCCTCTAGGACCAGCCTGGAAGTGCCTGAAATCAATGCTTTGCTGCTTGTCCCCAAGGTCTGAGGCCCCTAAGACTTTGATTTACGGCCTGCTCTAGGCCCTCTTCTGCCCTCTTCCTGAGTAACTGTTGACTTCTCACCCTACCTTGCCTTCCTCCGCAGGAGAATTCTCTCATTCTTGCCGGAGGAGACTGTCAACTACATACTATGGACCTGGAAACGGGGGCTTTCACGGTGAGTGGGCGTGCAGTGGGGTTGGGGTAGGGTTCTCTTCCTGGGCCCCCAGCTCCTGACACAGCCCCTCTTCCCACAGCGAGCCCTCCGGGGTCACACGGACTACATCCACTGCCTGGCATTGCGGGAGCGGAGCCCCGAGGTTCTGTCAGGTGGCGAGGATGGAGCTGTGCGGCTTTGGGGTAAGGGTGGGCAGCGGATTGGTGGAAGGGGAAGATGGCAGCTGGTGGACTGAATCCAAGATGGCACTGCTCTGGGTTCTCTCCACAGACCTGCGCATGGCCAAGGAGGTGCAGACGATCGAGGTGTACAAGCATGAGGTGAGGCCATGCCCAGCTCCGGGCTGCCCCCCTCCTCCTCTCCCGCAGCCTTTCTCTCATCATCCTCCCTCTAGGAGTGTTCCAGACCCCACAATGGGCGCTGGATCGGATGCTTAGCCACCGACTCCGACTGGATGGTAAGTTGGGCAGAGGGTGGGATGGGTTAGTGACTGTTCTAGGTCCTGCTTTTGGGACTCCGTGGCTCATGGCACCTGGGAACCTGCCGTTCTGGCCAGGTCTGCGGAGGGGGACCAGCCCTCACCCTCTGGCACTTACGGTCCTCCACACCGACCACCATCTTCCCTATGCGGGCACCACAGAAGCATGTCACCTTCTACCAGGACCTGGTGAGATCCTGTCACCTTCTGCCACCCCTGCCTGATCCCCACCTTCTGCCACCCGCTTCTGCTCTGATCCCCAAGCCCCTCCTGTCCTCCAGATCTTGTCTGCTGGCCAGGGCCCGTATGTCAACCACTGGCAGCTGAGTGGGGAGCTTAAGGCCCAGGTCCCAGGCTCTTCGCCGGGGCTGCTCAGCCTCAGCCTCAACCAACAACCAGCAGCTCCCGAATGCAAGGTGAGTCCCAGAGGGCCTGGGGTCCCTGGGAAGCCGGGGGGTGGGGTGGCAGGACCCTCACACTCCTCTTGTCTCTAGGTCCTGACAGCTGCAGGCAATAGCTGCCGCGTAGATGTCTTCACCAACCTGGGCTATCGCGCTTTCTCCCTGTCCTTCTGACCTCTTCACACCCCAGCACCCCAGGCGTTGGGAAAGCTTTTTCTTTTTTTTACAAATAAAGTTTCCAATGTTTGTTTCGTGTGCTTCTTTCCCAAAAATGGAGACCAAGCTGGTGTGGTGATTTATATATTACTCTTTCTGTTCTTGATACATAAATACCCACTCTCACCCACTCTAGAGGGTGCCTAGGGCTTAGAAAAGATAGACCTATAGATTTATAATACAGCTCTGCCCCACCACCCACTTCAGGCTGCTGACTCCCAAAGCTGGCCCCTGCTCCCAAAGATGAGCCTCTGCCCGGCTTTCCCTGAGTGGGAGGGCACCAGCGTCCCCTGGAACACAATCCGGGTTCTGTGGTTCCATTTGCCCAAAGAGAAAACCGAGTCCAAGAAAGGGTAAGGGTGGCACCCACATCTGCACTCAGGTCCTTCGGAAGAGGTTGCTGAGGAAGCCAGCGGCGGGTCCAGTGCCCAGGCGCAGCGAGAAGCGGGGTGAGGCACGGCGCGGAGAGGGCCTGGTGGCGTTCAGCTCCTTCTGGCGCTGGGAGTGCAGCTGCTGCCCAATCACCACCTGCATGTCATCCTGAAAGGAACCGAAATCAGGGAAAGTCAGAAGGACCTCGCCTCTCAGGCACCGCCCATCCCGGGCACCGCCCCTCACCTGCCAGGCCTCCAGCTCCTGTGTTAGCGCCACCTTCTGGCGGATGGTGCGCAGCAGCTCCCGGGATAGAGAGTCCCGCTCCAGCGAGACACGGCTCAACTCCAGGGACAGTTCCAGGGCCCTGCGGATGGGAGGAACGGGGAGCTGGTCCGAGGGGTGCTGGGGCCCTGGCAAGCGGGCTGTCTGGACCCAGGCCAGAGGGAGGCTGCTAACATGGAGATCAAGACCGCACCCCTCGGTGGGAAGGAGGACCCGAGCAGGGGTTTTAGTGAGTGGTATGAGGTCTCACTTGTTCACAGCCTCGTCCCTATCAGAGAGGGCGCCTCTCAAAGCGGCCTCAGGGTCCTGCGCCTGCAGCTCCTTCTGCCTCTGCAGTTCCTCCCTCAGGGACTGCAACTCTGTCCTCTGCAGCGCCATCTGCCGGAAGGGGGAGGTGGTTAGGCAGGTGAGCTCCTGGGTCTCCCAACCCATGCTGGACACTCAGTGGAGTCCTCGGAGTCCCCCAGGCTGAGGTGGAGGGTGAGGGCAGAGCTATAGGAGGTACGCAGGGAGAGGTGGAGGGAGTGAGCTAACGGAGTAGGGGTGTGTGCTGCTGAGGAAGTCTTCCTGGAGGAGGCAGCATAGAGCTGTCCCTAGAAGTATGATTTGTTTTTGGGGGAAAGGTGATCCAGGTACAGGGGCTTGAGTACGCAAATACCTGGCGGTGGAGATGGAAGGGAGAAAGTGACAACGGGGAGGGCTAGGAGTCCAGCACTAGTCTCCCCTCCCCACCTCATTCTGTAGTCTGGTCACTTCTGCCTCCCTCTCTTCCAGCATTTCCGCAGAGCTCCTCGTCGCTCGCTTCTTGGGGGGCTCCAAGCTCTCCTCCAGGGGTGAAGGGTGTGCACTGGAAGCCTCTAGGGGCTCCAGGGACAGTGTCCTCTGTGGGTAAAAAATAAAGTCAGCGAGGATCCTGACCTCTTGGGAGTAGTTGGAGGGGTGGACCCTGAATCTGAAGAGTTGTTGGGTCTGTAGCTCACCGAGGCATCTTCGTGTCTGACTGTGTCATGGTCCTGGTCTCCGTCGAGGCTATGTGCAAGCTCGGACTGTAGGGAAGTGACGGACACATCGGCGTCCTGGAAGCGAGACTCCTCCTCTAGCTCCGACACCCGCCGCTGCAGCCTCCTTAGCGCGCTGAGAGCCTCCTCCGCCTCGAAGCGCGCTCGTTCTAGCTGTGAATCCAAGAAAAGACAGGCAGCTGCTGGGGCGAACAGCCCCATACGCTGCGCCGCATCCTGCATCCTGCCCGCAAGGAGGCGCCAGAGTGCTGGGCAACCCCGCGTCCCCGCACTACCGGGACACGCCCACTCCCGCCCCTGCAGCATCGTTACGCGTCCTTGGGTCAATTTCCTACCAATAAAGCGGGGTGCGGCTGGGCGTCACAGCGCTGCTAGTCTCCCATCACTACCCCATCCCAGTCAGATCACCTGGCAAAAGCCCCACCCGCCCCCTCCCAAACCACATTTATGGAACCTTTTTTCTCAACCAGGCTCAACCACAGCCCTGTGAAGTAGGTACAATTACCATTTCATCTCACAGATGAAGAAACTGAGTAAATAGGGCCACTGCGATAAGAAACCAGCTCAAGGTCAGGAGACTTCCAATGACAGTCCCTGGGACCTCTTTTCATTCACTTTTCTCCACAGCCCATCACTGGCCTGATCCCAGACCTCCAGATTCCCAGCTCTGACCCATTCCAGACAGGTGGGAAGAGACTCAAATGCAAAAGTGCACCCTCCCCTCCAACTCTAAACTTTTCTATGGCTCCCACTTGCCCTCCTGCTGATGCCCATGCTTGGTGGCCAGATATTGGGGCTCTCAGGGACCCCTCTGTGGCCTCATCTCCCAGTGGTTAAGGGTGGAGCTGGGCACCCCCCAGTTATACGATCACCTCCAGGCTGTGTTCCCGCCTCTCCCTCCGTAGCACCAGCAGCTCCTCATGGGTGGTCTGCAGCCGGCCCTGACCCTTCTCTGCCTCATCACGCAGGCCCCGGATCTGGGCCTCCAGGTCCTGTCGGCGACCCTGCAGCATCTTGTTCTGGAGGAAGAGGCTCAGCTGGGAGGGGGCAGCACCAGTCCCCCAAAGCCGCAGGTCAGCCTTCTATTCAGAGGCCCGGGGCCGAGCCGTCATAACTTACCTCCCCTTGCAGACTCTCTAACCTTGTCCTCATTTCAGCTCCGGCCAGAGCCTGTGCCTGGCACTGTTCTCGAAGGGCATCCAGTTCTCTCTGAAGCTCCTGTTCTGTCTGGGATGCCTAGGGGGATGGGGTGGAACCCTCAACTCAAAGCTCTGTACATGCAGCCCGCTCCGGGACCAGAGGTGTTGGGTCTGCACCACCCACCTGAGCCAGCTGTTGGCTGAGACGGAGGTTCTGTTCTCCCAGCTCATCCAGGGCCTGTGCCCTTTCACGCCCACTGTCCCGCTGCTCTGAGCGCTGCTCCCCCAGCTGGGCCCGCAGGGCCTCCACGTCCCCCTCGAGCTCCACGGCCCGGGCCTCCCACTCGGCTCCTCGGGCTGCCAGACCCCGGCGAAGCTCATGGTTCTCCTGCTGGAGTCGCTGTAGGGACAGGGACGAAGGCCAGAGTCAGCCAGGGGAAGTGAAGTGGGGCAGACACAGGAAGGTTGGACAGAGGGATGGTTACTCAGTGCATGAGAGAGAGGAGTCCAGGAGGAGGAGGAGAGGTGGTGGGGAAGCATGCTGCAGGGAAGGCTCCCGGACGTTCGCTCACCTCTGGCTGCTGCCTGGACTTCTGCACCCGTGGTCGCAGGCGCCGTTTTTGGCGCCGGAGTCGGGTGGAATTCAAGCCCCGACCCATGGCCTCACACTCACCGTGCGGTGGACTCTGGAGGCTCAGTACCTGCCAACCCCTGTTCCCTAGCTTCTCTGCACCAGCTCCCTCTAATTAACCCTGCATAGCCCCGCCCTGGCCTCCACCTCCGCCTGTCCCCTCAAACCTGTCTGACTAGCGGAAGGGGGATGCTCTGGGCACACCCAGAGGCCCAGAATGAGAAGGCAGGTGGGGGGGGGCAGCCCTGGGTCCCCACAATCTCGAATCTTCAGAATGGGAAGGATCTGGACCTAGGCAAGGCCACAAATACTAATTACCAGTTTCTTATCATCCAAGGAGCCTTGGTGGCTCTGTGAGTCAGCTGTTAGACTGCTAACTGCAAAGCTGGTAGTTCAAACCTACCAGCCACTCCGAGGGAGAAAGATGAGGCAGTCTGCTCCTCTAAAGCCTGGCAGCCTTGGAAACCCTGTTTAGTTGTTAAGAGTCAGAATCGACAGTGGACTCGGGTTGAATTTTATAATCAGCTAGTGCTCTGCTTCGCACTATCTAATTGAATCCTTCCAAACTTGAAGGGTTGGTTCACCATTTTACAGATGAGGAAGTTGAGGCTCAGGGAGATTAAATGCTTTGTCCAAGGACACACAGTGAGTTAGTGGAGCAAGGGTTCCAATCCAGGTAGTCAAGCTCTTAACCACATACTGGGGGTACATACAGGCCAAGGACTCAACTGGCACGTTCAGGGATCCAACTGTCCTGTGTTCCTGACTCTGCTACCATTGGTCAGGCAAGCCCCTCAATTTCTCTGAGCCCCAGCCATCCATGTATCTGTGCAGCAAGTATTTCCTGAGTACCTGTCGAGATCTGTGTTCCTGAGCACCTGTCAGATCTGTGTTCTTTAAGGGACATCCTTAAAGGCTCAGATGAGACCACCAAGTCCAACTGCCCTCAAGCAGCTTAGATGCAGAGCATAGAGGGAGATGAAAGCCACTGCCATCAAGTCGGTTCTGAGTCACAGGGGCCCTGTAGGACACAGTAGAACTGCTCCACAGGGCTTCCCAGACTGTAAATCTTTATGGAAGCAGACTGTCTCATCCTCCTCCCACGGAGCAGCTGGTAGCTTTGAACCACCAACCTTTTGGTTAACAGCCCAATGCTTGTCTCAATCTGCCAGTAGGGCACACCAAACCAAAATATCACTGCCATGGAACTGATTCAGATTCATTCGTGATCCAGCTTCATGGAAGCTGAAAAAAGTCTCATCTTTCTCTTGTGGAGTGAGTAGTTAGTGCTTATCCTATAGCATCACCAGGGAAGAGGGAATTCAGGGCTGAAAGCAACCCTGGGAAGGATGAAGGGTGAGGAAGGAGCCAGGCCAGGTGGAAGATCCATCCTCCAGAGAGTGCTGTCTGAATTGGCTCCAGCGGGGCAAGAAGGAGCCGAGCACAGCACCTGTGAAGGCTGCAGCTCAAGTCTGAGTTGTTCACTGAACTGAAAGCTCCCAGAGAGAGAGCTGTGGGCGGTGGGAGCCAGATGAAGTCAGGGAGGCCAGAGGGCTAGAGCCCCAGGGCACTGTCAGCATCTCTATGTAGAGAACCAGTGTTGGAAGCTGTGGGGCAAGGAGTGAAAGGGTTTGATTGTAAATTTGGAATCTTCCCGTGGCCGCCTCACGGGGCATGTGTGGAAGCTGTGAGTTGAGAGAAGGCAGTGACTGCAGCATCTTGTGGAGGGTCCAGAGCTGATGGCAAGGAGTGGACTTGGAATTTAGTGTCAAAGGGGAACTGACCGGGCTGTAGGGGAGAGGGACAGAGAGAGAACATTCATGGAGATGTGTGCCCTGAGGTGGGAACTTAGCCGGGGGCAGCAGGGATAGGATTAGGGTTGATTATATTTGGGGGATATGGAGGGATGTGGCTAGCTACCCAGGCCTGGGGCTTAGGCCCATGAGGCAGACATGGGAGGGATATCCTTAAAGGGTCAGATGTGCCCCTCAGGTTGAGAGAGTATCTTCAAGGACCAAGGAAGGCCTAGTAGGGGAAGAACACCACTTGTCTCAGAAGCTGGGAGAGAATGAACCAAGATGGGACCTGACCACTACTGAATCTGGGCCAGCAGGATGTGCGTGCCCAGTAACTGAGGTCCCAAGATCCACAGAGGACCATTGGTTTGCCCGGGTCACACAGCCAGGTAGGACTTTGAACTCAGGCCTGGACCATTGGGTCACACTGCCAGGGGGACAGGGCCCAGGTGGGTACTGGTGCACACTTGGCTGTTCCTCTGTCATCCCTTTGTGCACCTGCCCACCTGCCCACCCTGCCAGTCTGTCCTGGTCCCTCTATCTCCTCACCTCTGTCGGCCCGTTCTTCTTCTGTTATCTTCCCCTCTCCAGCTGTCCTCCCCTTTCCCACCTGCTACCTGTTCACCTGCCACCCCTGCCTGCCTGTCTTCCCCTCCCCAGCAATGCTCCTCCATGCACCTGCAGAGCTGCCTGCCCCCTGGCCCAGGTCTCCACAGGGCTACTCACTTCCTCCTGCTCCGAGTGCTGGCTGCTCAGCGTCTCCAGCTGCCGCCTCAGCTCCTCATTCCGCTCCAGAAGCATCTTGCCCAGCTCTGCGGCCAGCAGTAGGTCTTTCTCTTTCCTTTGCAGCTGCACGGCCAGGTCCTCGGGCTCCTCAGGTCCAGGTCCGGGGGCCCCTCCCAGGAACGAGTCCCGCCGCTCCAGCACAAAAGGGAAGAATCCCTCATCGCCACTGGGGGAGGTGCCCCCTGAGAGCAGCCCCATCCGGGGAGCTCCATCCGGGGAGCTCATGGTACCTGCAGCATCTGTGAAAACAGGTGGATGCAGGACACGCCACCCTGCAGCCCAACAAGGCTTGTCCCCACCCCCGCCCCTAGGACCAAGACCTGGCCTTCATACAAGTCCCCACCTGTCCACCTGTCCCTCCCAACCCTACAGCCAGGGCCTCCCTGGGCCAAGAAATGCTAATGACCTGTGTCTTTGCCTCCCAGCTCCGTTAATGTCCCCAGGGTAAACTGAGGCAGGGAGCAGAGGGAAATGTGCCACTTGCCTTTGCCTGTGCCAAACATTCTGTGTCTTAGGAAACCTTGTTCCAGGGTTTGGGGACCACAGGTCTGTCCACCAAGGGGTCCCTGCTCCCATCTTTCCAGCTCCCTGTCCCAGACCATCAGGGACTGTCAGCTACAGTTCCTAGAACCCAGACTCCAGCCCTCTGCTGCCAGGAATCCAGGACTCTATACTGTTTAGGGACTCAAGGAGCCTGACCCCCAGGAGCCCAGTCCCCTCCCCATCCTGGTTTCTCAGGACTCAGGTGTTCTGGGCTCAACCGCTCCAGTCCCAGCATCTACCCCTCCTGGGATTTCCACCCCAGGCCTCAATTTTTTCAGGCCCCAGGCCTTCTTGCCCCCATCCCTAGGGATCAAGCGTCCTGTCCCTCAGCTTTCCCTTCTGCAGTGCGCGGCCCCAGCCCGTTTCCCAGGGCCCGGGCGTCAGGTGCAGGCAGGGCGAGGTAACAGGTTGTGCCGGCCGTCATGTAGGCACGACTCCGGGTTTCTGTTTACTTCCCGGCCCGCCCCTGGGACCCAGAGCCCGCAGTTCCCCGGGGTGTCCAGGTCAGACTGCTCTGGGGCTCCGGAGGGCCCGACGTACGGGGTTTCCCAGGGAGCTCCCCGTCCGCCTCCGAAAGCCCCCTGTCCCTTCACCCAATGCGCACACTTACACACCTGTTTCTCCCCTCCCCCCGTGCCAGGTGCGGGAGCCTACACCTTCCCATAGGACATCACACACTGTCGCGGTGGTCCCAGATCAGCCGAAGGCATCTGGGCTCCCAGGGCCCCGACCCTCGACCCCGGGGTCCCAAGCCTAGTTAGTCTTCCTTGCCCCTGGCCGCCCTTGGCTTCTCCGCTGTAGAAGTCATGTCGCCCGCCCAGCTCCCACATCCCTCCTCTTCTTCCTCTCCACTCCCATTCTGCCCAAGGCGTGAAGACCCTGCCCACTGCGCCCACTAGGCTCTTACCCGTCGTCGTCTGCCGGGCTACCGCCAAGGTGCCCACAGTCCCTGGTCCCCTCTTCCGGAGGCGGCGCCAGGTGCGCTGTCCGCACAGGTGAGGGGGTGGGGCTGAGGGCGGGGCTGGGGCGCCTCCTGGTGGCCGGAATGGCCAGGAGGGGTCGAAGAAAATTCACCTCCACCCTGAGGAAGCATCTTGAAAGCTTATGAAATGGTCAAGTGACCAGGCCCATTAAGTGAGCACCTACTGTGTGCAGATGCTATGGTTGAACCTAGATGTTGGCGCCTTTCCCCTCAGAATTGCCCTGTGGGGTAGGAAATTAGTAACAATGATAATAATAGCAACAAATTTGATAAATGAGCTCACTGCTAAGGAAGCTTTCTATAGGCAGAGTTCATTTATGCTCAGGACAACCTAATAATGAAGCAGGTGCGATGTTTATCCCCATTTCACAGATGAGGAAATGAAGGCTCAGAGAAGTCATCTAACGTGCCCACCACGGTGAGCTTGAATGTGAACTCAGATCCTGGATCCAGAGACTCAGACAGTTAAAACGAGTTGGTCACAGTTCACTTTGGCCCACTGATTAGGCTCCTGGGATGAGCATGAGCCACAGAATATTAGAGGTGGAGTCTGGGAGGAACCAGGCCTGGGGGCTGGGGGTTGGGAGTTTTACCCCTACTGTAAGCTGAACCTTGAGAACACTGAGTGTGGGGTGCTGGTAAACATTTAACACCTGGCTCTCAGGACTGGGGCAGCCTGAATCCCAGCCTTTGCCTATTTCCATGGTGTAAATAGTCTTTCAGGCCACAGACATAAAGTCGCTGCATTAAAAGTTGGGAGGAGATTCATGTAAGCAGCTTTCGCCAGCTGGCATCAGGGGACTGCAGCACACATCTGCCTGGGGGTCAGGACTCCTGGTGGGAGCCGGGACTCCTGAGCGGTGGGGGAAATGGGTACAGATAGAGTCACATCCCAATAAGCAAGATAAGCATGGGATTTCGTGTGTTTACTTACTAATCTGTAGTGAACAATTTCACTTTTTATTTTTCCTCTCACTCCATCAAAGATTCTGCGTCTAGGCAGGGCTAATATCTGTTTCTCAACCCCACACATCTTCCTACCTAATCAAGCCTTTTTACAACTGTGCAGTCCCTGACAGGGATGGAGTTCCCACTGAGCAAGGTAAACACAAACTTCCTTACTCATCTGTAGTGAACAGTTTCATATGGGATTCTCATCAGAAGCTGTTCACTACAGATGAGTGAGTAAGCACAAGGAATCCATGCTTATCTTATTTATTGTGTAATCCATCCCTGGGTGCAGCAACTCCTTGGAAGTGTGGTTGGTACCGGGAATCCTAAGTCTTGAAGCTAGAACAATATCCAGCCGCCAGATAGTTGTCATTGTTGTTGTACGCCATCAAGTCAATTCCAACTCATAGGGACCCTATGCAACAGAGTTGTTGTTGTTAAGTGCCATCGACTTGGTTCCAACCCATAGTGACCTTGAACAGGGTTCCTGAGGCTGTAAATCTTTACAGGAGCAGAAAGCCTCATCTTTCTCCCACAGAGCAGCTGGTAGTTTCGAACTGCTGACCTTGCAGTTCGCAGCCCGATTCATAAACACTACGCTACCAGAGCTCTTTTAGCAACAGAGTTGTTGTTGTGAAGTGCCATTGAGTCGATTCTGACCCATAGTGACCCTGTATAGGGTTTCCAAGGAGCAGCTGGTGAGCTTGAACCACCGACCTTGCAGTTCAAGCGACTTCGCTGTCTGATGCATTAGCCCACAGTGCCACACCAGGACAGAGCAGAAGGGTCCAAGACATCTTGTAGGAGTCCTGGTGTGGCACTGTGGGTTAACGTGTCAGACTGCAAAGCCATTTGAACTGCAAGGTCGGCGGTTCAAGCTCACCAGCTGTTCCTTGGAAATCCTATACAGGGTCGCTATGGGTTGGAATCGACTTGACGGCACTTGACAACAACAACAACAATCTTTACCAGGATCGCCAGGTCTTTTCTTCTGTAGAAGTGCTGGGTGGCTTCCAGTCACTAATCTTGCAGTTAGCAGCCCACCAGGACAGTGCTGTGAGGTGCTGTTCAGTCCGCTGTTCAGTCCATTCTGACTCATAGTGACCCCTTGTACCATAGAACATAACACTTCCTGGTCTTCGTCACCTACACAATCACGGTTACAGTTGAGTTCACTGTGTTAGTCCATCTGGTTGAAGGTCTTTCTCTTTTTCACTAGCCCTCTACTCTTCCAAGCATGATGGTCTTCCTACCTATCAAGGGTCTAGTCCTTGCTGATAACATAGCTAAAGTACGTAAGACCAAGTCTCGCCTCCCTTCCTTCTAAGAAGCATTCTGATTGTGCGTCTTCCAAGACAGACTTGTTTATTCTTCCGGCAGTCTTTAGTATATCCAGCATTCTTCACCAACACCATCATTCAAAGGCATCAATTCTTCGGTGTTCCTTTGCAAGGGGATGCTGAAGACTTATGTTGATACCGCATTGCCTAGCAAGCCCACGTTTTTCTCCCAACGCACCTGGAAGTGGCAGACTTGAGCTCAGGGTCACACTGTGCCTCACTCAGGTCGCATCCACATTTAACACAGGTCCCCTGCGTTTCTTCCTGCCTGCTCCCAGGAGGGTCACAGTCCACTGTGACCCATAAAGAAGAAATGAACCAATAAAACAATTGGGCAAAGGAGCTTGGCCATGGGTGCTGGCATTACACAGCGTCAGTTACAGATCCCAGCTTGGCTGCTTACCAGCCATGTTTGTTTGGGTGGCTCAGCTATTAAGCTCTGCAGGCTTCAGTTCTGTCTGTAGAACGGGACAACGAGAGTTCCAGTTTAAAGAGTTGAAGATTAAATGAGGTAATAAACATGAGGGGCTAGCACACAGTTCTAGGTTGTGATCCTCACTCAGTGTGGTGAGCACAAGTAGTGACTCACCTGTACTTGCTACATCGAATTTCATGCTCACAGCAACCTATGAGTCGTCCCTTTTCCGGTTCAGGGACCAGGAAACCAGCTCTGTGTGTATGTGACATGATTTGCCTGTGGACACAGCTGTGTTTGGCTTCTCTCCAGATGTTTCAGCATGATCTGCACAAAACATCTCGAGACCAAGTGGGCTTTCTGGGCAAAAGACACCTGAGCCAGGACCTGGAACCCCAGAGCTTCCCCAGGAAGATGGGAAGGTATACAAGGTAGTTGTGTAAAGGAAGAGTGCTCTCAGGTTAGGAACTTCCAGGAAGATGGCTCCTGTCCAGAATGGGGTGGAAGGCAGGTGACCCTTTCTTGTCTGTACTTGTCCCTAACCTTCTCTGGGCCTCCCTGAGGCCATTCTGCCCCTTCTTATCCCTCTTCCTCACCTGGTCTCAGAGACCTATGATTTTCATCTGAAAATTCAGCCAGCAAAGTACAGAGACTAACAGAAGAAACACCCAAGTTCTTGACAGCAAGAATTAGCAAAGGCGAATGTGTTATCTGATTTGACAGTGATCTTAATAACATGACAGTTGCTGACCCCCTGGCTGCCGTCCCCTCCCGGCTCCCCAGACAGAGGCAGCCCTGTTGGAAAGGGCAAGATTCCAAGACCAAGATGCCTGGAGGCCTTTACGATGACGACGTAAAAGCTCTGGACAACTAGCAGTATTGTTTGGAATATTTACAGTTCTCCTATAAAAGGTTTGTTCTGCAATAGGTGGTTTTTCCCCCCATTCTTTTCTCATTTCTTCTTCTTTTTTTTAATTAATAAACTTTATGTGAAAATGATAGCCTTGGCATATTCTATTATATTCACTTTTTACCTCTAAAAACATATTCTTACATTAAAACACAATAAAATTAGGATAGAATAAATATTAAAAATAACTTAGGCAACAATTTGTCATCAGATATATTTATGGCTAAAGGTAATAAAACACTCTTTATTACAGTACACCTTCTGTTAACAAAAACAAAACAAAAAGTAGACAGAAAGAAAGAGTTACAATGGAGTTGGTGCTGACTTATAAACAACCCCATATAGAGTGATTGCATTCCAATCACCAGTAATGAGCAATACATCTTGATTGCATGTTTGATTGATTTCAGATTGAAGAAGTTGGTAGAATTCTTCTATTTCACCCTCACTAGCTTTAGTGGTTGGTGCGTAAATTTGAATAATAGTGATATTAACTGGGCTTCCCTGTAGGCGCCTGGATGTACCTCATGACTGATCTGGATATGTTCTTTTTGAGAATGAATGCAACACCATTCTTCTTCAATACGTGATTTCCTGCATAGTAAACCATGTGATCATCAGATTCAAAATGGCCAATACCGGTCCATTTCAGCTCATTAATGCCTAAGATATCAATGTTTATGCATTGCACTTCATTTTTCACAACTTCTGATTTTCCAGATTCATACTTCATACATTCCATGTTCCAATTTTCAATGGATGTTTACAGCTGTTTCTCTTCATTTTGAGTTGTGCCCCATCAGCAAATGAAGGTCCTGCCTGTTTTTCTACCATGGACATTACTCCATTCGCGTTATCATAGTCAACTCTGCTGATTGGAATGCAAAGGTTGGGAATAAAGAGGAAGGGTCAATAGTTGGAAAATATGGCCTTGGTGATATAAATGATGAACACATAATAGAACTGCAAAACCAATGGTCTGTTGTCCATTTCAAATACCTTCTTTAGACAGCATAAGAGACGACTATACACATGAACCTCACCAGATGGACTACATAGAAATCAAATTGACTACATCTGCAGAAAGAGATGATGGAAACACTCCATATCATCAGTGAAAACAAGGCCAGGAGCAGACTGTGGAACAGACCATCAATTACTGATATGCAAATTCAAACTGTAGCTGAAGAAAATGAAAACAAGTCCACAAGAACAAAATATGACCTTGACTATATCCCACCTGAATTTAGGGTCATCTGAATTACAGATCTGATACATTAAACACTAAAGACTGAAGACCAGAAGAGTTGTGAGATGACATCAAGAACATCATATATGAAGAAAGCAAAAAGTCATTGAGAAGACAAGAAAGAAGGGAAAGGTCAAAATGGATGTCAGAAGAGACACTGAAACTTGCTCTCCAGCGTAGAGACGCTAAAGCAAATGGAAGATATGAGGAGGTCCAAGAGCAGCATGGAAAATTTCAAAGGTCAGCTCAAGAAGATAAAGCCAAATATTACAACAAAATGTACAAAGATCTGGAGTCAGAAACCCAAAAGGAAGAACATGGTCAGCATTTCTCAAGCTGGGGGAACTAAAGAAAAAATTCAAGCCTCGACTTCTGTTATTGAAGGATTCACTGGGCAAATTATTGAATGATGCAGAAAGCATCAAAAGAAGATGGAAGGAATACACAGAGTCACTGTACCAAAAGGAAATGGTTAATGTTCAATTGTTTCAAGAGGTAGCCTTCAGTATGGGTTGCTCTTCAATGTAAAAAAATAAAACAAAAATCCTCACCACTGGACCAATTAACGACATCCATATCAATTTCTCCAAGACTGAAGTTGTCAAAGACTTCATTTTGCTTGGATCAACCATCAACACTCATAGAAGCAGCTGTCAAGGAATCAAATGACAAATATTACTGCTGCACAAGACCTCTTTAAAGTGCTCAAGAGTAAAAATGTCAGTTTGAGGACTAAGGTGCACTTGACCCTAGCCCCAGTATTTTCAGTAGCCTCAGATGCATGTGAAAGTTAGACAATGAATAAGGAAGGCAATAGAAGAATTGATGTACTTGAATTATGGTATTGAAGGAGAATATTTAAATACCGTGGACTGTCAAAAGAACTCACCAATTTGTGTTGGAAAAAATACAGCCAGAATGCTTCTTGGAAGACAGGATGGCCAGACTTTGTCTCTCGTATTTCAGACATATTATCAGGAGGGACTAGTGCCTGGAGGAGGCTATTATGTTTGCTAAAGTGGAGGGTCAGAGAAAAAGAGGAAGACCCCCAATGAGATGGATTGGCACAGTGACAGCAGCAATGGGCTCAAGTGTAGCAATGATTGTGAGGTTGGCACAGGACTGGGCAGTGTTTAGTTTTGCTGCACATAGGGTCGCTAGCCAGTTGGTACCAACTCGATGGCACCTAACAGTAACGACCTATATATTTTTTGTTTTGTATACATAAAATTACTGGTGTGCCGCTGTGGAATCAACACTGGACTGTGAACCCAAGGTCCATAGGTCAAACCCCACTGGCTGCTCCTCAGAAGCCTTACACAGGGCACTTGACAACAAAAACAACCACGTGTACATTGGACATTCTTGTTTTGTTCATTTGCCAAATAGAAGATGTGAAAGGGAAGCCACAAGGTGGAAGCAGGCTAACTGTTGTTGCAAGGAGGGGATTGTAATCACTGAGATGAAACAAAGCCTAGGATTTGTTGACTGTAAAACTGATGATTCTGTCTGTTAAACTTCAATTTACAATGAAAAGTTTTTGTTTGTTTTGTTTTTAAAGTCAGCTGTTTTACTTGTACTTAGTGAGGGTTCACCACGCCGCCAGGAAGGGCCTCTCCTCCGACTCCTCCCTCGCATCCTTCTCCGACAGACCAGCCCCCTGACAGCGCCCAGGTCCGCAGATCTCTGCCTCCCGGATCTCCCCCCACCCCCTGAGCCCTCGGAGACCAGCTAGGTGTGACGCCCTCCTTCCCCGCCTCTCTCGCCCTCGTTTACCCTCGGGCGGCTGACGCTCGGCTTCTGTGAGCATTTTATTGGACTTTAAATATCTAGGAATTGACAAGAAGACTGCGCGGTCCGCAGCGGGCCCTGGAGATGCTGAGAGGCTCAGGTACGAGGCGGAGCAGTTCACGAGGCCGCAGGGGGCGCAGGCGAGGCGCCCGGAGACCCCCACCGTGAAGGGAAGCCGGGCCAAGGATCCGGCTTCCGCGCCCCTGCCCTGCTGCGCCCGCTTCCCAGACTCCTGAGGTCCTGGAGTACCGAGGAGGAGGCGCCGGGAGAGCCGAGCCCTCGCCGTCTCGGTCGTCGGAAAACAGAAGCGCACCCTGAGGGGTGAGACCTCGGAGCTGGAAGCGGGGAAGAGAAACCAGGGGCGGGCGCGGGAGGAGAAGCGGGGACCACGAAGGTTCCTGACGTGAGAAGGACCTGGAAGATTCATTCATTTTCTCTTGAAGCACAGCGGCGGGTTTTCGGGGTGCGCCCGCCACGCCCCACTGGGAGGAGAGGGACCTCCCGGACGCGCCCTGGCCACGATAGGACCCAGCCCGAGACCCGACAAACCGCCACAGCCGCCCGGAATCCGAACCTCCGTCGCTTTCTCATGTTCTTGATCCTCCAGGGACTCCTAACCACCGCCAGGACCCCACTTCGCCGTGTATCCCAGCCCCTTGAACGCTCCACCGACGCCGCCTTGCGCCCTCTCCACTCATCGGGATCCCCAAGATCTCTCCTCGCGTCCACCCCCGTAGCCTTGTGCTGGGCCTTCTGGCCGCGTCCTTCCCCAGCTGCCCAGGGCGGCTGCCCAGACTGCAGTAGATCATGTGGCCAGGCGTGCTCGGGCCCGGGCTCAGTCTCCAGGCGCTGCTGCTATCCCTGCTACCGCGGTTCGCGCGCGCTCCGGAGCCCGCGGCGCAGGACGTGAGCCTAGGTGTGGTGAGTAAAGGGTCGCTGGCCTCCGGGGTTCGAGGGCGGCTGGGAAGGGGAGTCAAGAGTTCGGGGATAGGAGGTCTGAGTTCTTGGGTGACCACAGAGAGGCTGGGGTCCAGGACTATTGAGTCCGGGGAACTGGATTCTGGGGAAGAAATCCGGAGACCTGGTTTCTTGGATCCAAAAATTGGAGGAGGAACTGTGAGGGGATCTGGGGACCAGGACTCTTGGATACAGTTAGAGGCTGGGAGACTCAGGGCTGGATGAGGGTAGCTTGGGCAGGAGAGAAGGAGGAAGCTAGGGCTAGCCATCCTGAGCTCCTGGGGCCAGGCGATGGGCAAGCATTGCGGGGGTAGGGAGTGTGTGTGTGTGTGTGGGTGGGTGGTTGGGTGGAGTGAATCCCATCCTTCCTGTGGTCCTGCCTTACTCAACCCGTCTGCCATCTAGGACTGGCTGACCCGCTATGGCTACCTGCCGCCGCCCCACCCCGCCCAGGCCCAACTTCAGAGCCCCACGCAGTTACGGGATGCGATCAAGGTCATGCAGCGCTTTGCTGGGCTGCCTGAGACGGGCCTCCTGGGTAGGTAACCAGCCCCCTGCCCCCACACCCTCTTCCCCAACCCTTTCCCAGCTAGGACCATGAATCCAGGAAGTTATGAAAATGATGGTATAGGCTCGAACTCTGGAGATTCCTAGGCATCAGTAAACCCTGCGAAGGCTGGAATCCTGTCAGAAGGAAAACGAGCCATAGAAAAACCATGAGACTGCACCTTGTCAAAGGAGGAAAACCTGTGAGAGCTGGGGTAATTCTTGAGAGACCGGCCTGATAAGTGATGAATAGATCAGGACCAAGTCCTAGTGGAGTTAACCTTCTAGTTGTGTTCTTAAGTGTTGTCCTTGAGCTGATTCTGACTCATAGCAATACAGTTAACAAGGAATGGTTGGTGGGTTTGAACTGGGGACCTTTTGGTTAGCTTGTTGTTGATAAGTGCCTTTGAGTTAGTTCCGGTGCATAGCGACCCTGATTAGGATTTCCAAAGAACGGCTGGTGAGTTTGAACCACCGACCCCGTGGTCCAGTTTTCATCCTACAGCGCCACACTGGAATTCCTAGAGTTCTTAATTTCCAGCCCTGCTTGCCTCTTCCACCCTTCCCTATAATAATTCAAATGTTCTTTGTCTGGTGAATGCTGACACCATGGATGCTGATCAAAGAATATCACTATGGCACTTTTTGGCATTTTGAAATGCTTTTGTGACTCTCATCCTTGAGAAGAAGGAGAAGGTTAGTCCTTGTAAAAGATGGGGAGGGGCTCAAAGAGAACTAGAAACCAGTTTTCCTGAAATTCAGCTTGGGAGAGGAAGGCAAAACCCCAAAACAGCCCAAGCCCGTTTGATTCCCACTCACAATGACCCTACATGACAGCATAGAACTGCCTGTAGGATTTCTGTAAAGAAGTTGACTGCCTCACCTTTCTCCTGCAAGAATCAATGGCTTAGTAACTAACAGCTTTAACAACTCTGCTACTAAAGCAGAAATTGTTGTTGTGAAGTCATGTCCAGTCAGTTCCGACACATAGCAACCCTGTATAGGGCTTCCAACCCTGTACAGGCAGCTGGTGAGCTAGAAGCACCTACCTTGCAGTTCAAATGACTTTGCAGTCTGACGCATTAGTCCTCAGCCCCACACCAGTACTCCACTAAAGCAGAAGAGGAAACCAGAAATCAAGAACTTAAAAATGCAATACCATTTCCAGGTAGTAGGGAGTGTTTCAAAGAAATGCTGGTGGTGTCATGGTTGGCAGTTGGACTCTCCCCATCGCCCAGTGTTTTCATGGGGAAAGACCTGGCAATTTAATGCTATAAAAATTAAAACCACTGCCATGGAGTTGATTTTGACTCATAGACCCCTGAATAGGGTTTCCAAGGCTATAAATCTGTGTGGCAGCTGAAAGCCTCATCTTTCTCTCAAGAGAAACACGGGGTTGTTATGAACGGAACATCGACTCCACAGCACCTAACAACAACAACATCAAGTTTTAAAGAAAATAAAACACCAGTGGTATATAGGGCCAAAGCCACAACCGTACTGTTGTATGGACCCTATAGGAACTGCTCCTTAGGGTTTCTGAATTACAAGTCTTTATGGGAGGAGGTGATTTGCCACAGGAGACCTGGGGACTTTATCTGGATGTGATGAGGACTTGGAAGCTAGGGTGTGAGGTACCAGCCACCTCTCAGAAGCTTCTAGCAACTAAGAGAGGGGTCCTGGGTTACTGACTGAACCCCCAGATCTTTACTGAGTCCACCTGTGTGGTCCAGGAGAGTGAGACCCCAAGATCCTGGCCTGAGACTGCAGCTTGATTGTATGAGATGGTTCCAGATTCAAAAGTCAATTCTGACTCCTCAGGATCCCATGTGACAAAGTAGAAGTACCCCATAGGGTTTTCTGGGCTGTCTTTATGGGAACAGATCTCCAGGTCTTCCTTCCTTCGAACCACCAACCCTTTGTTTAACAGCTGAGCACTTAACCAGTGTGCCACCAGGTCTCCCTAAACTAACACTGCCTGGGTTCAAATCCTGGTTGTATGACCTTCCTGGGCAAGATTCTAATTCTCTCTGAGCCTCAGTTTCCCCATGTGGGAAGTTGTTGCTGTAAAGTGCCATCGAGTCGATATCGACTCATATTGACCCTGTATAGGATTTCCAAGGAGCAGCTGGTGAGCTTGAACCACTGACCTTGCAGTTCAAACGACTTTGCAGTCTGGTGCGTTAGCTCATAGCACCACACCAGGACTCCTGTGGGGAGTTAGCTGGGCCCATTATTTGAGCAGGCTGTCACACTGCTGACCCTGCTCCCCCAACCCCTCTCATAGATGCAAAGACAATGGCCACCATGCGCAAGCCCCGCTGCTCCTTGCCTGACTTGCTGGGAGTGGCAGGGCTGGTCAGGCGACGCCGGAGACGCCGGCGCTATGCTCTGAGTGGCAGCATGTGGAAGAAGCGGACTCTGACGTGGAGGTAGGTCCTGGTGCCTGTGACCCACGTGGGCCTGCCTGTGGGGGTCCCTGGCTTGGAAGGGTTGCCTTTTTCTAGTCTCTTTGCTCCAAGACCCTTCCTCTCTCTTCAGAGTTCGTTCCTTCCCCCAGAGGGCCCAGCTGAGCCAGGACACTGTTCGAGTCCTCATGCAGTATGCCCTGGACGCCTGGGGCATCGAGTCCGGCCTCAGTTTCCAGGAGCTGGGGTCTCAGGACGCTGACCCAGACATTCTCATCGACTTTGCCCGAGCCTACCACCAGGATAGTTACCCCTTTGATGGACTGGGAGGCACCCTGGCCCATGCTTTCTTCCCTGGGGAGCATCCTATCTCCGGGGACACCCACTTTGATGACGAGGAGGCCTGGACTTTTGACTCAAAAGGTACAAGCTCCACTCAGAGATTCTGTTCCCAGGTGTGTGTGTCCTGAAGAGGTAAATTTCAAAGACTCTCATTCATGTAATTATGTTTGCTTCCTGGGGATAGCGGGATAGCGCTATCATAACTGTTCCACCTTGTGGCTAATAGGAACAGACACTTCTTTTTCTTTTTTTTAAATGTGTATGATTTGTTGTTGTCACCATTGAGAATCTGCACAGAAAGGCATCACTGACCCAACAGCTTCTACATGGACAGTGAGTACGGTGACCTTGGTTACGTTCTTCAAATTGTACAGCCATTCTCACCCTCCTCTTCTGAGTCGCTCCGGCCTCATTCAGAGAAGGTTCACAGCTCCCTAAGCCTCCTAGCTAATCCTTTGAATCGATGTTGTCAATTTGATCCCTTATACCAAAAAACAAACCTACTGCCCCGGAGTTGATTCCAGTTCATAGTGACTGTATGGGACAGAACAGAGCTGCTCCACGGGGTTTCTGAGACTGTCAGTATTTATGGGAGCAGGCTTTCCAACCATCAGCAGCCCAACACTTAACCAATTGCACGATCTGGATTCCATTTCAGTTTCAAGAAGCGTAATGCTCAAGGCAAACATTGCTTACTAGTGAAACTAAACTATGTCAGGTTTTGACATCCTGGTGTGGTGCTGTAGGGTAAGCACTGGACTGCTAACCAAAACGGTCAGTGGTTCAAACACATCAGTCGCTCCTCGGAAACACTGTGCACGGTTGCTATGAGTCAGAACCAACTCAATGGCGCTTAGCAACAACAGAAGTTAGATTTTAAGACTTCAAGAGAGATTTTTTTTTTGTTTTAAAAGTTTTTGTTGTGAAGTCTGTGAACATTTACAGGACAAATCAGCAGTTTTACATTCAACAAATCATATACTTTGTTTCATTACAATGGTTATAATCCCCTCCATGTACCATCAGTTAACAGTATTTCTCTCTATTCATTTTATCTCTTTTGTTTAAAAAAAAAAACCAACCACTCAGGAATATTTAATAATTTAAACCACCAAGCCTGCCTCCTGGCCACCAGCTCTCAGTCCCTCTCTTTCCGTGAATCTAGAGTCCTCAGCTGCTCCCTCTCTCCATGTCCCCATCTCTGCCTTCATCTCTGGTGTCCCTGCTTCTCTGGATAGGGTCCCATGTTCCGCACGTGCTCTTCTCCCTTGATGGTCCTAGGATACTCTGTTTCTGGACTGTAAGATTTACTACTCTCCTGTTTTTGTTATAAAACTTCTACCTTTATAGTTGTGACAATCACAATTAGTCATGATAACAATTACTCACTATTGAAACATAAGAATCTTATCCCCATCTTTTTTCACCAGACCCATCTAGACAAGACAAAAACTATTCAATGGGAACTCTATCTTTCCCTCCACACTCTTAAACTAAACTCCCTCTTAAAAACGCATAAGCCAGTCTCAAGAAAGATTTTTAGTTCAAGGTTTTAAAATGGTTTCAGGACAATAGTTTCAAGGGCTCCCTCAGATTTCATAACTCCAGAAGTCTGGATTCTATGAGAATTTGAAATTCTGTTCTACATTTCTTCTATAGAATCTTTGAACAAGATGGAAGAGAAATGTCTTGTCTCTGGAGGCTAGAAGTCTGCATTCAGATTGCCAGCAGGGCCACGCTATTCCCAAAGGCTCTAGGACTTTAGGACTTTTTCCTTCCTTGCTTCTCTCCCAGCTTGTGGTTGTTTGTTGTGAGGTACCATTGAGTGGGTCGGTACAGACCCTTAGCGACCTTATGCACAGCTGAAGGAATAAGTTTGTGGGAGTGGTGGTTGTGTGCCACGGAGTCTCTTGCGACTCATAGCAACCCTGCATAGTAAAACCTTTATGGGAACAGAAAGCCTCATCTTTCTCCCATGGAACTACTGGTCGTTTTGAACTGCTGGCGTGATTAGCAGCCCAATTCATAACCACTATGCCACCAGAGCTTGTGGCAGGCCCCGGCATTCCATGGCTTTTAGCTGCAGCCTTCGTGCTGTGGACACATATCACTCGTCTCTGGTGTCTCTTCTCTTTCATAAGAACACTCAGAATAGGCTTAGGGCCCACCTGACTCCAGTATGCTCCAGTATGACTTCATGTTAGCGTGACTGATGACATCTTCAAAGACCCTCTTTCCAAACAAGGTCACATTCACAGGTGGGGTAAGGGTTTGAGATTTCAACATGTCTTTGGGAAAGAATTCAATCACGCAGTTCTTAATAGAGGCCTATCATGTGTCCGGTGTGGCACTGTAGGATAAGCACTGGACTGCTAACCACAAGGTCAGTGGTATAAACCCATCAGCTGCCGCTCCTTGGAAACCCTTTACAGGGTCACTATGAGCCAGAACGTGGAGTCCTGGTGTGGCGCTGTGGGTTAATGCGCCAGACTGCAAAGCTGTTTGAACTGCTAGGTTGGTGGTTCAAGCTCACCAGCTGCTCCTCAGAAACCCTATACAGGGTCACTGTGGGTCGGAATTGACTCGACAGCACTTAACAACAACAAATGAGTCGGAACAGACTTGAAAACACTAAACAACAGGAGCATGTGCCTAAGGAAACTTGGTGGGACTGTAGGGTAAGATTGAACTGCTACGCATATGGTTGGTAGTTCAAAACTTGCAACCATTTTGCAAGAGAAAGATGAGATTTCCAGTCTCAGAAATCCCGTACAGGATTGTTCTGAGTCAGAATTGGTGCGATGGTGTGAGCTTTGCTGATATCATCTGATTAATGTCCCTGGGTGCTGTGAATCGTTTGTGCTTGGTTATTAAACGGGAGTCCTGGTGTGGCGCTGTGGGTGATGACGCTGGACTGCAAAGTCAGTTTGAACCACAAGGCTGGCAGTTCAAGCTCACCATCTGCTCCTCAGAAACTCTATACAGGGTCACTGTGAATCAGAACCGACTCGACAGCATTTAACAACAACATTAACTTAGAGAAGGCCTGGTGTGGCACACTGCAGGATAATGTGCTGGACTGCAAGGTCAGTTTGAGCCACAAGGTCAATGGTTTAAACCCACCAGCTGCTCATCGGAAACCCCATACAGGGCCGCTATGGGTTGGAACCTACTTGTTGGCACTTAACAACAGCATCAACAATTAACCTAAAGGTTGATGGTTCAAACCTGTCCACCAGTGCCTCAGAGAGAAGGTCTGGCCATCTAATTTTGTCAAGGTGACCGCCGAGGAAACCCACAGAGCACAGTCCTGCTCAGCAACACGCGGGATCACCACGCGTCCTATTCAACTTGACCACGATGGGTTTGGGTTTTGTTTTTAAATTTTCTTTATTTTTTAAACTTTTTATTATGAGTTGAGTGAAGGTTTACAGCGCAGATCAACTTTCCATCCAACAAGTCATCTAATTGATTTCAGTCCTCACAATGTAACCTCACTCATCCCATTTCCTTCCTGGGCTTCTGGCTTCCGGTCCTCTGTCTTCCCTAACCCTTCTGAACAACGTTGGCCTTGGCGCAATGCTACCCTTTTGCTCTCAGGGGGTTGATGGTTCTAAGGTGTGCATTGCATACTTCCCTCGTGTTACCTATTTTCCTTACCTTGTTTTTGTTAAATGGTGTCCAGTTGGTTCCGACTCATAGCGACTGGTGTAGGGTTTCCAAGGTGCGGCTGGTGAGTTTGAAACTGTGACCTTGCAGTTAGCAGTTCAGTGCTTATCTACAGCTCCACACCAGGACTCCTTATAGACCTGTGTCTATTGTTTGGTTGAAAATTGAGCTATGGTTGGGGTTGGGTTCATTTCCAGACCTCAAGAGTGGTAAAGCCTAGACTCTTGGGGGTCCCACTGGTCTCTCTTTGGTCAGTAAGCTTGGTCTTTTTGATGACTTTGAGTTTTGTCCCACTCTGTCCAGGACCTCCCATTGTGATCCTTTTCAGAGCGGTCGGCAGCAGGATGCATCTAGTTCATGTGTTTTGCTCGTGTTTCTTGGTTATCCTGTGCCTGGCTCTGAGCTGGGGGCTAAGGACTTACAAAGGTACACACCCTTTGACAACTGTCAGCGGCTGAGTCAGATGAGTGATTTCAGTAACCACACCGGGCCACAGGAATCATGACAGAGGAAGTGGTTAAGCTTGTGGGTGTTCAAGGCTCCCAGGTGAGAAGCAGCTTCCTGGAGGGGCCACTCCATTTGCTCAGCAAATCTGGACTGAGCGCCAGTGCTGTCCCAGGGTGCCCTGGGGCCCTACAGGGTCACTGGGAGTTGGAACGGGTTAGATAGGAACCTTAGGGGGCAGTGAGTTTTTGTTAATGGGGGAGGAAAATTCATAAAAGGAGAGTGAGTAAATGAACTCAAAGAATGTCATCCATGTCACTGGATTGTACTTGGACAAACTGTTGAACTGATGTATGTTCTGCTGTGTGTAGTCTCAACAGCAAATGAAATGAATTTAATATTTAGCTGGTGTTGAGAGGGAGACCACAGAGAATGTTATTGTTACTACTTGTTGAGCTGATGGCCTCTCATGTGTGTCAGAGTACAGCTGTGCTCCACAGAGCTTTCAAGGCTGTGATCTTTTGGAAGTAAATTGCCAGGCTAGTCTTCTGAAGCATCTCTGCTTTCAGTTCGTAGTCAAGCATTTAACTGCTGGCACCACCTAAGGACACCTCTAGATCACAGCAGGTTCCGTATCACGAAGGCCTCTGGAGACTGTGTAGAGGAGTCTGCACCATGAGGTTCTGAGGGCAATGGTGAGCCCTCACAGGGTCCTGCATTCTAGAAATATCCCTGGCTGTAGTAGGGACCAGGCAGAGGCAGCGAGGCAGGGCAGCTACTGCAGGATCCAGATAAGAGATGCTGTTAGTGGTCTAGGGAGGAACCGACTATGAAGCTGAGGGAAGTTAGGATGAGCACAGACTGGAATTTGTCTCGATTCTGGTGCCAAGAGAGATGGGGGGAGGTGCTGATGTCCTGGTTTCCAGCTCCGTCCCTAGAGGATGGTGTGGCGGTAGTGCATGGTAGATTCACTGGGTTAGGCAGAGTGATGAGTTCAGGTTTGCTTTGTGGGGTGGTCACTGTAGGTGGTATGTAGGCAGTGAGGATCTGGGTCTAGAACTCAGACTCTCTGTCTTAGGTCAGGTTCTCCAAAAGCAGAGCTCAGACTGGAAATCCTCATGCACGTGATTTCTTAGAAGCATGTTCTCAGAGCCAAGGAAGCAGAGGGGAGAGGGAAACCAATAAAACTGTGGTCTCAGCAGAGGGGGGAACTGGAGTTAATCTCGTCAGAGGCAAGGGGGCCTGGACCTTACATGGTGCAAGGGTTACTGACATAAAGGCTGGCGATTCGAAAACATCACTTTGGAAGAAAGACTTGGTGATCTGCTTTCATAAAGATGACAGCCAATTAAACCCTACAGAGCACACTTCTACTCTGTAACCTCTGGAATCACCAGGAGTCAAAGCCAAGTCAATGGCAGTGGGATTGGATTCATTTGGTTGGAGACAAGTGGGCCAGCCCCATGTTAATCCGTCATTGGCTGTGGGCTGTGTGTGTGTTGGGGGTGGTGTTGTGTGAAGGGGACAGCCTAGGTAAGAAGGGGGAAAACTTTTTGGTGAAGGGATCATCATGGCATGGGTGCCCAGACTCTGTTGAAACATTTGGACAAGGTACCAACAGTCATCCACAGCAGTGAGAATGTGAGCTTGGAAGCTCTCCTCCAAGGCAGAGTCCCCCAACTTGCTATGTGTAAGTTACTTATCCCAAATGGCCTCAATTTCTTCACTGAGAAATAGGATAGTAACAGTACCTGTTGGCAGCCTGGGTTTTCAGATAAAATGAGTCATTCACATACAGCACAGGGCCTAATATGAAGCAATGTAGTCTTTATAGGCAGTGACTATTAGAGCTGGACCTGATTTGAAACTCAGTGGTCTCTGGGGTTTCCCAAGGTTCCCGGGAGGAGAGTGTAGAATGTGATGAGCAGAAGGTCAAGTACAGAGTCGTGGAGAACCCCACAGTTAAGGGGTGGGCAGTGGCGGAATGAAGATGGGGAAAGAACCGCCTCAAAGGCGATCAAAAACAAAGACGGAAGGAGGAAGTGGTCAGCAAAGGCCAGAGTAGCAAACAAGTCCAGTTAGTGACACAAGCCTGGATTTGGTCATCAGGAGACTTGGTGACCTTAGTGCCTGCAGACATGGTGGGTGGGAAAGAATCCAGACCACAATGGGGTTAGGCATGAGAGAAGCTGAGGAAGTGAAGACTGAGTTTAGAGGATCCAAGAACTTGGCAGTGGAGGGAAGGGAAAGATAGAAGTGTCAGGGGAAGGAGAAAACAGGTCCAAGTAGGGTCTGAGGATGAGGAAGTCTTGAGCACTCTGGAATGCTGGATGAGCCAATAGAAGGAAAGAGTGGTGGATGGGTGAGAGATGGATGGATGGGTTGCTTGGTGAACTGGATACCTCAATGGGTGGGTGGTGGATGAGTGGATGGAAAAGATGAGACAGTAAATAGGTTGGTGGATGATTGATGGGTAGATGGATAGGTAGATTGGTGGATGGATGGAAAAGCGAGAGGACAAATGAGTAGATACATGGTAGATGAATTGATTGATGGGTAGATGAATGAATGGATTAGATGTATGTGTGTGTGTGTAGATGGATGGATGAGTAGATTGGTGGAAGGGTGGAAGATGGATTGGATGACTAGGTGAGAGGGTAAGTGGATGGATGGATGGGGTATTGTCTCAGAGGAGGTGAGGGAGACAGGAGACAGGGTGTTGGCACAGACTAGGACATGAAGGCAGAAGCACATGGGCCGGAGGTTAAAAATTGCATCTCATCTCTCTGACTGATGAAATAGGAAATGCATTTGGTAGCATCTGCTGTCTGAAAGTGGGGGGCTGGGGTTGTATGAGCCTGGAATCAAGGCCGAGAGAGAGGACAGAGCAAAGTTGAGACCTGCTGGGTGATCTGGAAAGACTAGAGGAGGCACTGAAGGCCCCCCGCAGACTTCCTTAGCAATCTCACAGGCTGGTCTGCACAGCTGGGTCATTTCCTCCCGGTGCATAGCGTGAGAGTGTACAAAGACAACTGGATATGGCCTGGAAGCCCAGCTGGGCCAGTGCAGCTGACAGAGAGGGAGTCAACCTGAGAGGATTCAACTTCCTCTGATTTCTCAGAAAAAGGCCCCAGAGTAGCAAGAAAACCCAGAAAATCAATAGATAACGAACGAACGCAATGTGCCCAAGAATATGTGAAGTCCTGGCCTCCTTCCCAGGGCTGCCACCCAACTTGGCCTCTCTTTGCCTCTGTTTCCTCATCTGTAAAATGGGGACATGAAGCAGAGAGAAAATTAGGACGAAAGACCCGGGTAGCTTGACTTAGTTCACTAAATCGTTCTTGACATGTCCCCTCATAGCTGCTGTGAGGAGCTGAGGGAAACAAGCTTGGCAACTTGCAGCTCATTTCCTTGAATTCCACTTTCAGCTCTGCTAACCCGGGTTAGAGATTTCCATTAAGGAACGCAATATGGGAGAAGCCCGTGTGTCTCCCGGGGGCCTCTGGGCTCTGCTGCCGTCTGGGTCTCTTCCAGCAGGAGCCCGCAGGATCACTGCGGGCCGGATTTCGGCGCCCAGGCTGGGTCCTCAGGGAAGAGGCCACTGTGGTTGGCGAGGCTCCCCAGCCGGGGCCAGGAGGCTGTGGTCTGAGAGAGGCTGCTGAGGTGGCCGATAATGATTGCATTAGGGGAGGGCTAAGAAGAAAGAGGAAGAGGGGGGAACTGACGGGGGTGGGAGAAGTCTGAGGAGCTAAGGCTGAAGGCGAGTGGGAAGGAAGGGGAGCAGGGAGGAGTGTGTTCCTCCAGAGACTTACTGCACCCCTTGGCCAAACCACTTCCTCCTACAGTGTTCCTACATCCTCCATCCTTCCTGGGGGGCGGGGCTACATCTGTGAAGGTCAGCCCTTCCTCTGGCCAGGCCCTTCCTCCCTGTCTGTCCCCTTCCCCATGATCAGCAACTGGGTCTCTTCAGTTCTGGCTGGTGTCTGTTGTTCAGTGCCTTCCAGTCGATTCCAATTCATAGTGACCCTGTGTGAGTGGAGTGGCTGGTGGGTTTAAACCGCTAACCTCAATGTCTGGTGCTTATCCTACAGCGCTACGTCAGGACCCCAGGCCCCGCTGCTTGCTGTTATGTTATTAAGTACTGTAGAGTCCGTTCCAACTCATAGAGACCCTGTCTAAAGTTCCATGGAGCGACTGGTGGGTTTGAACTGCCGACCTTGCGGTTCAAACCGACTTGAGGGCCAGTGCATTATCCTGCAGCGCCCCCATCTGGACAATTCTCCAAGTCTACAGACAAAATGAACGAACATATGCGGGACCGGTGGAACGGCCTAGTGTTATTGCCACTCCCGAGGGTCTCCTGGTGGTGAAGGGTTACCAGATGCCAAGGGGCCGCCCCTTTCTCAGCCTACTCTTCCTCCCTTCCCAGATGGTGAGGGGACGGACCTGTTTGCAGTGGCTGTTCATGAGTTCGGCCACGCCCTGGGCCTGGGCCACTCCTCAGCTCGGGATTCCATCATGAGGCCTTTCTATCAGGGTCCAGTGGGTCACCCCAGCAAGTACCGCCTGCCTCAGGATGACCGCGATGGTTTGCAGCAGCTCTACGGTATCAGTGAGGGAGGGGTGCCCCAACCAGCCACCCAGGGCTCTTGGCAGCAGAGCCAGGGGAACCCATGCCCCCCTACTCTCTCCTTGCAGGGAAAGGGCCCCCAAATCCACGGGATGAGCCCACAAGGAAACCTTTGGCACCTCCTCCCCCACCCCCAGCGCTGCCCCCTGACAGGTGAGCACCCCTCCGCCCACTGTGTGATGTCAGAGTACCTCCTGGGACTCTGGGTGGAGGGAAAGTGAGGAGCCCCCAGCCCCTCTAGGCTCATCTGTCCTTGCCTCTACAGCCCGTCGGCCCCCATCCCTGATCGATGTGAGAGCAATTTTGATGCCATCGCCAACATCAGAGGTGAAACTTTCTTTTTTAAGGGTGAGTCATTTTGTTGTTTCCAATTGTTGCCTTATCCACTTCGGGTGGTTATGGAACTTTCCGGGACCATGGGACTTTTGGTGCCAAAACTGGTAAAGGGTCCAGGCAAACTAGGACAAGGTGGCTTTGACTTCAGCTGCATCTTTCCCCCTTTCCTACCTCCCGCCCTTCCCCCCCACACGTTGCTCATGGGGGGAGTAGGGCAGCTAACACCCTTCAGTTATACATTGCTTGTGGGGAGTGGATGGGATTAGACAGGAACCCAAAACCAGATCAGCTGATTTATTTGTGCCGGTAGCATTGTTGTTGTTGTTGTTAAGTGCCGTCGAGTCGGTTCCGACCCATAGCGACCCTGTACAGGGTTTCCGAGGGTGTAAATCTTTTCAGGAGTAGAAAGCCTCATCTTTCTCCCGCGAAGCGGCTGGTAGTTTCGAACTGCTGACCTTAAGGTTCGCAGCCCGATTCGTAACCACTACGCTCCAGTGCTGGTAGCATAATGGTTACGAATTGAGCTGTGAACCGCAAGGTCAGCAGTTCGAAACTACCAGCTGTTCCGCCGGAGAAAGACGAGGCTTTTGCACCCGTAAAGATTTACAGGCTCGGAAACCCTGTTCAGGGTCGCTATGGGTCGGAAGCAACTCGACGGCACTTAACAACAACAACAACAAGGTTTTCAATGATTGGTTTTTCAGAAATTGCCAGAACTTCTTTCCAGGATGTCTCTGGGTAGATTCCCACCTCCAATCTTGTCTCTTAGACAGTTCTTAGCCGTTTCCACCACATAGGAACATCTGACGGCAGACTTCGGTGATGCGGACGTACTTGTAACAGGCCCTATGCCCACTTCATCTCCCCAGGCTCCTGGTTTTGGCGACTCCAGCCCTCAGGCCAGCTGGTATCTCCCCGGCCCGCCCGGTTGCATCGTTTTTGGGAGGGGCTGCCCACCCAGGTGAAGGTCATCCAGGCCGCCTACGCCCGACACAGAGATGGCCGCATCCTCCTTTTCAGCGGTGGGCAGGATCCGCCCTGGGGGGAGGGCTGGGGGTGTAGGGAGAGCTCACCCTGACCCACTGATGCCTCCTCCCATCCACCAGGCCCCCAGTTCTGGGTGTTCAAGGATCGGCAGCTAGAGGGCTCAGCCTTGCCGCTGACGGAGCTGGGGCTGCCCCCTGGTGAGCAGGTGGACGCCGTGTTCTCGTGGCCGCTGAACGGGAAGACCTACCTGGTCCGGGGCCAGCAGTACTGGCGGTACGATGAAGCAGCGGCCAGCCCGGACCCCGGCTACCCGCGCGCCCTAAGTCTCTGGGAAGGGGCGCCTTCTGCCCCCGACGATGTCACCGTCAGCAACACAGGTGGGGCGTGCGCAGCGCAGGGGGAAGGGCTGCGGTTTCCTGGAGCTGGGGAGACAGAGGCACTCGTTGGGGGCTTGGAGAGGGCCTGGACTAAGCCCTTAAGTTTCTCTTCACCCTTACAGGTGACACCTACTTCTTCAAGGGCGCCTACTACTGGCGTTTTGCCAAGGGGAGCGTCGTGGCCGATCCAGACTCGCCCCACCCCATAGGGCCTAAATGGCTAGACTGCCCCGCCCCCAGCGGTAGCCCCCCAAAAGCGCCATCTAAGCCTGGAACCTGCGACTGTCAGTGTGAGATCAATCAGGCCACTGGACCTCCCCCCCTGCCACTTCTTCTGCTTCTCCTGTCCCTGCTGGTGGGGAGCGTCACCGCTTGCTAAGACTGGGAAACGACCTCCCACGATGGATATGGTGGGGGGTTGAAAGTCGCCTGGTTCCCCACAGTCTTTTCTGGGCTTGGAGTAGGGGTCTTCACCGGCCCAAAGCTGGGCGGACTCCCCGCGCAGGTGTACCTCTCTAGGACTGCGCGCCCCGCGCTGCACACACAGATAACCTCCCCAGCGGTCCCTCCCGAGGCTTTCCTGGCTGCAGCCGCTCCTTCTCCGGAGCCCGCTGCCAAGGAGCGACTCCGCTCAGCGAACGCTCCCACAGGTTCAAGGTTGCCTACTACTGGCACTTTGCCAAGGAGAGGGTCGTGGCGGACCCAGACTCTCCCCGCCCCATGGGGTCCAAATGGCTGCACTGTATCGCCTCCAGTGGTAGCCCCCCAAAAGCACCGCAAGTGTCAGCGATGGGCAGCTGCCAGGTGACACTGAAGACCAGATGGAGGCTCAGGACTCCAACCCCTTTGTAGGGAGTTATCAAAGGAGAAGGCAGGGCTGAAGTGGGGGAATTTGTAGGTTGGGGGACTAGTCATCTGAGTACCCTTCGCTGGCAGGCGGGACACTGACCTCAGTAGATGCTTCCTTTTCCCAGAAAAGCTAGCTTTTCCTGGGGCTTGGCCAAGTCCTCTTTACCCCTGCCTGCCGGGCACCATCAGCTGGCACTTGTTTGGATCAAGATAAAGAAAGGCAAGATGTGGAAACTCCCAGCCTCAGCCCCTGTCCTCACTCACTGCTCTGAGCCTTTCAGCATCCCACCCCCATGCTGGTGGTGATGGACCCCTGAGCCAGCCCTGGGACCAGTCCTGAGACTAGTGATGCATAGGGGGAGGGGCAGAGAGGCGAGTGTCCAATGTGAAATTTGAGATTCTTTTTATTGCTACAAGTCATCTTCTTTTCCAGCCTTTAAGAATTTACTAAGTCGCTGGCATGAAGTGTATGATTTGCTGAATGTGGGACTGAGAATGTGTTCTGTAAATTTTCACTCAATTCACAATAAAATGTAAAAAAATTTTTTTGTTAAGTTGACTACTCAAAAATTCTGTATCAAATTATTTTACAAATGGTATCATTTCACACACCAAATTAAGTTTTGTGTTTCAAAGGAGACCATGGAGGAAGTAAAGATACCCATGGCTTAACTTTCAGCCAACCTATAGGCCTATAGGAGTCCTGGTGTGGCGCATTATTCAAAGCTGTTTGAACTGCAAGGTCAGGGGTTCAAGCTCACCAGCTGCTCCTCAGAAACCATATATAGGGTCACTATGGGTCGGAACCAACTCGATGGCACTTCACAAGACAACATAATTCTGTAAGATTCCTGGTGTGGCACTGTGGGTTAGTGCACTGGACTGCAAAGTCAGTTTGAACCATAAGGTCAGCAGTTCAAGTTCATCAGCCACTCCTTGGAACCCCTATTCAGGGTTGCTGAGTCTGAACCAACTTGATGGCATTTAACAACATAGGCCTATAGGGGAGTCCTATAAACAAAAGTAATACATGCAAGTCCCAGTGTGGTGCCATGTATGTGTGTAACTCTCCATGATTTAAATTCTTTTAAAATGCGGCTATAGTATTAGTGGACTTCTGGTTTGGCACTGTGGATCAGCATTGGACTGCCAACCACAAGGTCAGCAGTTCAAACCCACCAACTGCTCCTCAAAAACCCTATACAGGGTTTTTGGCAAAACTAACCAATCCCAGTCTTAAGAGTCCTTATGTACCCTATTTGGAGTCCTGGTGTGGTGTTTGTGTGGACAGCAAGGTCAGTGGTTCAACTCACCAGCTACTGCTTAGAAATCCTATACAAGGTCGCTATGGGTCAGAACTGACCCACATCTGTTTACTAGAAAGAAATAGTATACATCCAAGACACCTGTGGGGTCCTGGGGTCGCACTGTTGGACAGGTACTGGACTGCTAACTAAAAGGTTGGTAGTCCTCAGAAACCCTATACAGGGTCCCTATGAGTTGGAATCGAATTGACAGCAATTAACAAGACATCTGCTGAGATAAGGAGATTCAATTACAGGGAGGAAACTAGGAAACAGATGTCAACCAAGGTTAAAGATTGGGCTGCTACTTTCAGGGATGGTGGTTGGAACCCACCAGCGGCCTCAAGAGAGAATCCTGTAAAAACTTACTGCCTTGGAAACCCTATGAGGGCAGTTTGACTCCATAGTTTTGTCTGCTTGGCATTTTTGGGTCTTTGCTTTGGGTAATGCTGCCCCTATTTTGTTGAAGCTGAGGCACATTTATTGAGTAATCCGTCTCTGGGGATGGCAGGTTTTCTTTGGACTCTATTTCTCCACCAGAAACTAAGTGGTCAGTCTGAAAGATGGCCCACACTACCACTGGACATGAGAAGAGCTGGGGAGACAGAGGCACCCTTGGAGCATTTGGGTGAGGGGTGGGCTTGAACCACATCCTTGAAGTATCTGTTTACTTCTATAGGTGACAAGACACCTTCTACATGGGTGCCTACTCTTGTACTCCCTCTCCCCTCCCACTTCAAAGGGCCCCATGTGGTATCTTGAGTTTACTTGATAAGACTTTTCTAATGTCTTAATTCCCACCAGGGTTGTTGTTGTTAAGTGCCATTGGGTCGGTTCTAACCCATAGTGACCTTGTATAGGATTTCCAGCCAGCAGCTGGTGAGTTGAACCACTGACCTTGCAGTTCAAACAGACATTGCAGTCCAGCGCTTTAACCCACAGGCACCACACCAGGACTCCAAATAGGGTACCTAGGTCTCTAAGATTGGGATTGGTTAGTTTTGCTATCCAGCTACGTTTAAAAGGCGCCATCTCAGAAGCAAGAACAGAGGATCCCAGGTTCATCAGGAAGGAGGAGCATGAGATGCCTACCTAGAAATAATGACCACAGCAGAGACAGATGCAGAAAACAAGGTGTGCCTGCAGCAGGGCAGACAAGAGGCCATCCCCCTACAAAGCTGCTATATCCTGAGTTGTTCCTGATCCTGAATTGTACCCTGTCCATGTCCCGAATAAACCCCATAATCCTGAGTATTGTAATGAGTTCTTCCGAAAGGGAAGAAATTG